GCAGGCTTGCAACATGCTGCCTGCAGCCCGTGCTGAGCGCGTTGCAAGTGTTTTAACGATGTTTGCAAGGCGCATTACGTGATTTGGCTGCCGCCTACTGCCAGGCTCAGCATTGAATGTTTGCAGCATGTTGAAATTTGAATAAAATCGCGGCAGCTGCAAGAAGAAGAAAAGTTGCAGCAGAGTTGCGGCTGCTGCCCCACGCCGAGCTCTGTGGACAGCGGCTGACAAAGTGGCTGCAGCTGAACGCTTGTCGCTGCTCTGTCGGCAGGTTTAGCTGCTTGCTCTGCTTCTTCTCCCCGATGGGGCGTATCATTGTCGCCTGTCAGGAGCGCAAACACTTTGTGTCGATAACACACGAAGCCTGTGCAACCGGAATCCCCTTGCACTTGCCGCGGCCGATAGCGTCGCAGCAGTCGAGCTGCAACGATAAATTAGCGCTTGCAACTTAATTTGCTAGTCAATTTCCATGGCTCGCTTTAAAAGGTTGCCTGGTCCTCACTCTAACTCTCTGTGCTCTCTCGCTCCCTTTCTCTGCTGTCAAAGTGTCTTCTCTTTGTCCTTGATTCTCGCTATGTTGCTTCCGTCTCTCTCTCGCTCTCCTTCTCTGTCTCTACAACATCATCATCTTTCTCCTTCTTGCTCTCTCTTTATGTCTGATTTTCTCCTTCTTCCTTACTTTCTGTGTCTTTCTAAGACACTATATATTTTGATTCTCCCTCTCTCTCTCTCTTTCTCCATCTATTTCTCTATCTCAGTCTTACTCTCTCTCTCTCTCTCTCTCTCTCTCTCTCTCTCTCTCTCTCTCTCTCTCTCTCTGTGTTTATCGATATCTAGAGGAAGAGAGCTATAGCGAAAGAGATTAAATGATACATTTTCCTTATTGGTCTATCTCTCTCTTCCTCTTGCTCTGCTTAACTCTCTCTTCTTCTCTTTCTCTCTGTCCCTGCTCCTGCTGAGTCATTAGAATCTGCAGCTGCGTCTGCACTTTGGGCTTAAATCCAATTACGCGCATTGCTCAAAGGTCCCAAGGCAACTGTGCAGCTGCCACAGTGATGACAGCTTTAAAGCAGCCAAAGAAAAAGCTAAATTCAGATTAAATTGTAGCTAAACCTAGAAGATTAAGACTTGGCTTGCTTTATTCATTTCTATTGTACTTTAAAATCTTTTCGGACCTGTTTCGTGCTTCTATTCCATTCCGTTCTAATCTATTCTATGTATTCTATACTACCTGATTCTTTAATCAGGTCTACTTTTCCTTTCTCTGCTCTATATAACATTGTGCATTCCGTCCTGATCGCCTCATCAAAATAAGCTAGTTTTAGCCGGAAACCAGCTAAGACACGCAGCACTGCCTAACTGAACGAAGTGCCCACTGCGCTGGCCGATCGGCAATTTGGCCTGGACAACAACGGCTACAACAACAACAACTAGAACTCAAAAGCTGACCAAAAGCCGCTGGCCAGCATTGTCCACTCAGTGGGCACTTTTGCTTTATTATAGCAATGCTTATACAGATTAGAATAAATCAACTGGCCCCCGCCTCGATCTCTCCATCTTCTTCCTGCTGCGATCAGCAAACGCTACCGGCAACAATCTGGAGCTGCAATTGGACTAGAGCTTGGACTAGAGCTAAAACTGGGATTGGAATTGGGTTTCGGTTTGGCTTTGGGTTTGGGACTCGAACTCGACTGGAACTGGTTAAAGGCCAGCTGCACCCCACACACAGACGCCCAGTTGGGGCCACTTATGAAGTGGCCAGGAGGCTAAGAGGAAGTCGGCACAGATAAGCAGGCAAATGGCTTGGCTTATGCCACACAACACAACAACAACAACAACGTAGCATGGGCATCATAGACAACAACAACAGCAAAGCGCCAAAGGGAAATGCAGAACAGAACAAATGGGGCGAGCTCAAAGTGCAGCTGCAAGTGGAGCATATTTATATACGGATATAGAATTCTCTATTTGATGCCACAATGCAAATCCGCAAACGGAGATGAAAGAGCCGATCGAGGAGGAAGAGGGAGAGAGTTGGCAAAGGTTCTAAAGCTAAGATCTGAAAAAGAGGAGGATGAGATATATTGTAGAAATGATGTAAACAGGATCCGGAAGAGATTTAGAAAAGGAACTGGGAAATGCTTAGAAAAGAAACCTAAGCAGATCTTGAATATAGAGGAGCTCTAAGTAGATCTGAGCGGAGTTTATAAGAGAAGGACAAGGGAGAGCTATCCATCTGAAGAAGATATAGCATACAAATGGAAGTTATCTAAAGAAAATCTTAAACCAGAAAAAAAATCTGGAAAAAAACGTTATGCTTGCCATGGATAATCTCTTGCCTCTCCCATGCAGCAAATACCAGAGACTGAGTTAGGCCCCAATTTACATGTAGAACCTGCAATTCCCCTTTCTATAATAACATAATCCTTGCTTCATTAGCATTGTATCTCTGAAAATCTGTTGGCGTTTGCCTTGTAAACACAATTGTTGTCGATTTGCGGATCGGTTAACATATCGATGCAGCCGAGCCGGAGATTCAACTGAACTCGATTCCCATACAATGTCTCGACATGCGGCTCAACACTTACAAATTAAACGCATTCAAGTGCAAGATGCTGGAATTTTGATTGGGTCAACAACAAGTCGAAAGAGGCGCGCGGTAGCTGAGATGCCATAACAAAATGTGTCAAGTGCCAGACATAAATGCCCAAGTAACGGCCCAGCCAAAGGAGTCGATTCCTGCTACTTGGCCTCTCCTGATCTCTGCTGCTCTCCCCTCCCTCTGCTGCTGCTTCGTCTCGTTCGTTTGCTCGCGGCCTTTTTGCTGTTTGCTCTCGCCATTCGACATGCAGCTCAGCTCAGCTCGGCTCCTTCGGCTTCGCATCATGAGACAATAAATTTTCGGTGCGTCAATTTTTTTTTTCCTTCCTCTTTTTTTTTTTTGGCTTGCAGATCGTGGTCGAGGCTGCGGCTACGTTTTCGATACCCTGCAATAGAGAAGGGGTATATTGCGTGTGTGTTGGGACTGATCTCAGCTTGTGAGCTTTTCGTACTCTTTGACTAGATTTGACAGGCAGATAAACGGATAGGGTCTATCTCTGAATCTACAAAATCTGTTATCCCTAGTTTTGTATATCTACGCTTACATGCATAAGAAGTTCGTCTATGTTCGGATTAAAATGTTCCCCGTTTCCTTGCAGCGCATCTGTTAGTCGTGTAAACTCTGTGCTCGCATCGCGCTTTGGTTTTTGTGCGCGCTTTCCAATTAAAAATGCGCCACAGTTTTCGTCGCAATTGGAGTTTGGCCGTTGCTCAGCTTGTACTTATTTGTAAGTTGCACGCATGCAGTCGTAGAATGTTGCCACAGAGACTGCTCCAGCGGCGTCTATAGCAACAGTTGCTGCTGCTGTTGCTGCTGCTGCAGTTACTCTTGGTAGATTCTCCTGCTGTCCTCAGCAGCTTCCACGTCAGCCACTGCTTCTCGCATTCCCTTTTGCTTCTGCTTGTGCGCCTTCTCCTGCTGCAGTTCTTCTCTTGCCCTGCCGCCCGCTCCTGCTGCATTATCAACGATCTGGCGACCTTCTGCTGCGCTTGCCGCTTGCTGTTTTCATTAATTTACATAAAAATATCTTAATTGCAATGCCTCGTTCTTTTTCGCTTCTTCATTATACATTATCAACGGCCATGTCATGTCGCCGACGCGTCGCCTCGTCCGCTGGCCACGTTCCATGCTCCTTCTCCTGGTCCACTTGTCCAACGACTCGATCATTGGGGCTGACAAATTTTCGGTGGCAGCACGTCAAGCACATTGACCAAAAAGCTTGCGCATCCTGATGCTGGAGTCGAAACACATGTTCTGCGACACCAACCGCCTTGTATCTGCCCCCGGCCCGCGGCCCGCGGCGCATCCTCCTCGCTCACCCGCTGCATAATCACTAATAAATGCGCCTTTCAGTGCTATAAAAATGATTTGTTGATAATTAATGCAGAACCAAAAGCAAAAAATAAAACCAGTTCGCGCGCTTACCTCAAAAGAACAGCAAATTATTGTTGCTGTTGCTGTTGTTGCCTTTGCTGTATGATGCACAATCAAGCCTTAAACGCAATCAACGCACAGTAACTCATGTCTGTGCGGCTCCCAGCTGACAGGCTGCAGATAGAAAGAGATAGCAGGCCAGCTAATTGCACGGCGCAAGCAAGCCGAAGTCGAAGCCGAAGTCGAAGTCGAAGGAGTTTCACATAACAAGCGCGCAATTAATGCGCAGCATAAACTATGTAGTAGAAAAACTTGCATCATTATCATTATTATTATTATTATTATTTACGCGATCAAATTGGCAACAGAGGAATAGCAAAGATAATCAGTGTTGGTTAATGCACGAGACACGCGTCAAATTCGCAGCAGCACGTTCTGATGTGGGTGCGTGACAGTGAGCGAGAAAGAGACGGCAAATAACAATAACACAAATGTAAGTGTTAACATTCCGCTGCTAAGCAGTTGCTGTAATGCTAATTAACAAAGAGTAAGCTTAAATAACCAATCAGAGCAATGCAGAGAGCGGAATGGGACGCTGATGCTGCTGCTGCTGCTGTTAAGCTCTCTCACTGCATGTGAACGAAAGGGAAAGCAGCACACGGAAAAAGAGTAAAGAGTCAAGCTAATGAAATTCTAATTAGAATTCTCTTCTGCATGCTCACTATTCACACCCGCTGCATATGTAACATATTGCTAGTAGAAATGTTACTTTAAATTATGAAACCAGTGTTGAGCACTGTTGCTCAGAAAAAGCAATTTAGACATTACGCAGCACTTTAAATTGTTAGACCTCGTGTTGTTTGGTTGAGCTTCGAAATGAACACTGATAGGATTATCAGGGAATTACAGAGAATTCCACAAATCCTCACAAAGGATGCATTAAACTGGCAGCAGATCGTCGAAGATGGAGCCAACTACATGAAAAGTTATGCGAACCAATGTGCGAAAATCTTTAAGAGGGAAATTAATTTGAAGAAATCGAGATCGCTACGGCAAATCGGCAAAACCAAACGACGAACATTGCGAAACATTAGGCATATCAACAGGAGGCGCAAGGACCTCAAAGAATCGGTGAGACTGCTACACATTATCCAGAGTCGTACTCAGGTCATGTATTCACGCGTTCGCTACTGGAGAAATGATGATATTTTGCAAGAGATTGACATTGAGTCGAGCCAGACGGCTGGTAAGCTGCTGGAAGTGTTGAAATTCCTAAAAGATCAATACGATCTCGAATGGGAGGCTATGGAAATGGTCATACGTAAGTGGCAGCGCTTGCCCCATAAAAATTTCCCGACTCTGTTACGCGACGTTCTTCTACATTCACTTTCAGGCCATCTCAAAAATGTCGCCAGCATTGACGAAGCCATAATGCTGATGCGCATTTGGCTGAAGAGCAGCCGCGCCGAGAGAGAGGACTTCAGCGCCAACTTGGCCGAGAAGTTTCAGGCCATTGAGCAGCATCGTGCCGCTTCCCAGTAGGACGCAGAATGTGCCTCGGCTGTCAATGCTGTTCAAGAGGTTCTTTAGCAAGTTATTCCACTCAACAATAACTGTTCGCTCTATCCGATTTCCCACTATTTTTGCCTCACAACATAAAACAAAACATTTGCATTTTTCAATCATTTCATTTCTTTTGTTACTTTTTATTGGAAAAATGTGTGTTTCTTCTGTTCTCTGTCTGCACGCCAAAAAACCGTTATTAATCATAAAGAACTTGCAAAAAATTGTTGTTTTTTTTTTGGGTTTTCGCTTTTTTGCACATTTAAAATTTGACTCGATCTTTTGCTATTTTTTTAGTTTTATTTTTTTTTTTTTTTTCTTTTCTTTCTGTTTGACTCACGCGGTAGCAAAAACAAAACTTAATTTGTAATTTGACTACAACAACATTTTGTTTGTTTTGTTTGCCCAATATATATTTGCTTGTATATATAATTATTATAATTGTATATATAATATGCAATTCTGTAGCTAATTTTTCCTTCTTTTTTTTCTGACATACATTTCCTAATTATGTATATATATATGTATATAATGAATGCATGGCGTTTTGTTTTAGAAACAAATTGCAATTGTTTTTCATTTTTTTTTTCAATTTTTTGTTTCTTTTCAAAATTTTTTTTAGTTTCTGTTTTCTTGAATTTGCAATTGAAATTTGGCCTATGTACACACATACATGCCTACACTGAAATGCATGTGCATGTGCATATGTGTGTGTGTGTGTGTTTGCCGTAAAACTAACCTCGAGGCTAACCTTAACAAATTTATAAATTAATAATTGCATACTTTTAGGCTAGGGGCTGGGCTAGTAAATGGTTTTCGCTCTTGCTTCTTTCTTCTCTCTCTCTCTCTCTCTCTCCTCTCTCTCTCTCTTTCGCTCTGACTCTTTCCTTCGCTTAATGCACTTATGTCATGTTTATATATATATTTATTCAAGCCTTAACTAACTTTACAAATTTGTCAAATTTTCTTTTGTTTTTCATTTCACTTTATTTGTGTTTTCTTAGAAAATTCAACTCTTAAACTGAGTTGAGTTTGTTTTTAAAAAATTCTGTTCCCACCATTTTTCGGTTTTAATTCATATATATATATATATATATATATATATATTTCATTTTATTTTTGGTTTATATATATTTATTTATGAATGCTTGTTGTCAATTGTTGCTCTCTTTATATATATATAAGTTCAAGTGTGTCTGTGTGTATTACAGTTACAATTATTGCTATATATATGTATTATGCATATGTGTATGTCGTTAGCCTTCGTCAGACGAACTGACGAACTCACCACACCAGCGTGGTGAACAAATGTGTTGAGTTGAATTGAGTTGAGTGGCGAACTGAAACCCTTAGCTAGGAAATGTTTTCTTTTCTCTTTTGCTTTATGAAAATTATTGGAAGCGTGTTTGGTATTTGTTTTGTTTCTTTTCTTCTCTTTTTATGATATGAAAAAGCGCCGCGCTACTTAAGTACCAGAAATTGACTTACTCTTAGTAATTTGTTCTTTGCAAAAAACAAAAAAAAAAGAAATGACCCAAACAAAAGTAATTGCAAATAATTCATGTTTTATTATACACGAATAAATCGAATGCTAAACGTGAAATAAAAACCAAACTACTTAAAAGTTAAGCGTGTGTATGTGTGTGTATGTGTCTATGGGTGTGTGGTATATATGTACTAGAAAACGTCTTTGTAAATGTAGATTTGTTTGTTGTTTCGCTTTGTTGTTAAATTATGCTAATTAAAATACACAGGTAAAAATAATTTCATTGTTTAATAATTGTTTTCATTTAATGCAAACTTAAGCCTAGCGAAAATCTTTCAAGTTGTAAGTGCAAAATCAATTTGTTGTATTTGTATGTGAGAGTGTATGTGTGTGTGTGTTTGTTGTAGAAAGCTTTTTTGTTTATATAAACATATTTATGTTAATTTGTACACAATTTCTTTTTAAGTAATTCATTATTAAACAATTGGCTATGTGAGTGTATATTTGTTTGTGTGTGTTTATGCGTGTTATGCTATGTGTGTGTGGGTGGGTGTGTGTGCAATGTATAAAAAACAAAATGTGTTTCCCTTTCTCTTTGTATAAAACAGTTCCTAACCTCAAAAAACTACTTATTGACTTAAGACCCTTACACCATATATCCCCCATTTCCCCACTTAAACCCCATTCATAAATCTCCCTTCCCTTCTTTCTGCTAACCAGCAACTGCGCTTTGCGTCCAAATATATGTATGTGTGAGTGTGAGTGTGTGCATGCACAGTATACGAAAGTGTGTCTGTGTGTATGCTTGCCTGCCTATGTCCGTGTGTGTATGTGTGTGTGTGTGTGTGGGAGTGTGATTTTTCGCTTTAACATTAAATTGTTTTTATTTCTTTATAATAATTTAAACTAATTTGCACAAAAAATTTACACAATTTATTAATTTAATTTAGTTTTAATTAGGTATTTTCTCATTTGTTGTAAGCTACTTTTTGTTGTATAATTATAATTTTTCGGTTTGTTTTTTTTATAATTATTGTTGTTGTTCTTAGTGCTTACGGCGAATTGGTTGTAAATATGTACAAATTTCTTTTTAGCTTACTGACTAAATATTTTGTTTTTTTTTTGTTTTAAATCTTGCGTATTGTATATGATCTATGTATATAATATATATAAATATGCCCCTATGTGTGGTTTTTTGTTGTTTTGTTTTGCATCTTCTACTTCATCCTTTTTGTTGTTGTATATGTATAAATATTAAACACTAAAACGAACGCCAGCCTAATAAAAAACAATTCTTGCACTATACACAATTTTCAATTAATAAATAGTAATGCTGTTTTCGCTACTCTCCTCCATCTAACTTCATCTCCTCTCTCTCTGTCTTGCTCCTGCTCTCAAGACTTATCGCTTTCATTGCTCATCATCTCATCATCAATTAACTTTCTTGTCTTTGTTGCACATCCTTTGGGTAGGCTGTAAGGCTGCTGCGGCGGCTGCTTTAATTACAAGGCTCTGTGTTTAACGCTATCTGTGCGTTGCTGTTACAGTGTCTGTTAACGTTACTGTTACGTTTACATGCTGCTGTTACTGGTATATCATTATTCTCTTTTGGACTGTTAACTTGCTGGTTTTTGCACTGTTTTGTTTTCTTTTGTTACTGTTTTGGATAGTTCGCTATGTTAATGGAAGTACAGCAAACGGAAGCAATCGACTGTTACTGTTACTGTTACGGCTACTGCTAATGTTAATGGTCTGTTGTTTCAGATATTGTGCTCTATGCTATGGCCGCCGTTAGATAGTACAAATCCATCAACGTTTGCACATTGATGGGCAGACAGGACAGACGATCGTGCGTATTGGAATCGAGTGCCAGCCAGGACAACGCATTGTATCCCTCCAGCACAAAGCGTAGCACGTCGGCCGTTAGTGTCGAGTCCAACGGATGATCATTGGCCGATTGGTGAGCATTGGTCGAGTTGAGTATATCATCGGCTATCTGTATATTAGGCACATGCAAATGCAACGCGGTCTTTAGGAAGACGGGACACACATCCTCCAGGTGCGGACAGGCGGACCAGAACCAGGCGGGCATCCGACCCGTGGGCGCTGTCGACACCATGTAACCCACCGAAATGGGCTGCTGGTTGAGGGAGCCCACCTGAAAGACAAATCGAATGTTAATCAAGGATTCAATCAAGTAAATAAGCGCAGTCCACGCTACCTCCTCGACCTCCTGCGGTGGCGTGCATTTGAAATTGTTGCCTCCAGCGCTTTGCCAGCTGCGGTTGTCCTCCATGCGTCCTGGACTGCCGTGATTTGAGACGCGATCCATGTGAGCTGCTGTGCAAGAGGAACATGCGTGAGACAAGCTACAAAACAAGAATCTATCGATTCCAAGCAATACTCACAGTCCCAGAAGAGATCGCCAATGTCCGCATCGCTGAAGTCCTCGTTGCCCTCCTCCTCGCCAAAGATGAAGTCATCGTCCACCTGAGGCTCGTTCTGGAATTGGCGTGTGAAGGACTGCAAAGATAAAGAAAATCAGGTTAGTATTGTTTAATAGACAATCGATAATCGATAACCAATAATCGCCAACATTACTTACCGCACAGACCGCACTGGTGGGAAAGACCAGGATATGCGTACAGGTGACATCCTGCGGCGTCGACAACGGGTTCTGCATCGAGATCTGGGAGAAGCGCTCATCGGGCGTAAACTGATCGGGCATCACGCGAAGCTTGGCGTCTGGCTCTAGGGTGACCAGGCAAGCACTCAGAATGGTAGGCGGATACATCAGTGTACACTGCTTGCACATGTCCTTGAACTGCTTGGAGGCCTTCTGCAGCTGCTGCTTGCTGAGCAGATAGCTCCAGGACTTGAGCTCGCTATGACCAATCCGGCCGATCCTGCCGATCACCAGTCGCCACATTTGCGACGTCTGCGAGATGAGGCCCATGACGAAGTCCATGAGCTTACGCAGCGCCACATAGCGCGCGGGCGCCTTTCTTCTTCTGGCACGGTTCGGCACATCGATGTTGATGCACACCTTCTCCAGCAGCTCGCCTCGCTCATCCGTCGCGGTGGCCAGCAGCCAGGACTGATCCTCGCTCAGGCAGTAATTGCAATACATCACTGAGTAGCGCGTCTCATTCTGGCCATGCATGCTGCCCGCTGCGCGGGAGAAGTCCGTCTTGTCGTTACGCTCGTGCATGGGCGCCAGCACAAATGGAGCGGTGTACATCTTATAGGGGCGTCGATTCGGCTCATCTTTGGTCTTGAGAAACGCCTCCATGTTGGCCGCCGTGCCAAAGCCCGTCAGACTCTTCACGGGCTGCGCATGCACCAGATGCCTACGGCACTGCGAGAATATGTTCAGCGCCAAGCACTTGATCTCGTCCGAGAAGCGACGACGATTGCCGCAGGGTCCTAGCTCCATGATGGACTCCAGCGAGATGATCTGGATGTTCATCTGCGCACGGACCGAGTCTGGCACCACCTTCAAGAGCTCCGCATAGCAGCGGAGCAGCGCAATCAGTGCGAGTCGCTCCAACTCGAAGCTGTCGGAGGCAAAGGTGAACGGATTCACCACATACAGCACAATGGCTGAAGGATTAATGTCCTCCAAGGTTTCGCCCATGCCCAGTGGATCGCCCAGCACCAGAGCTGGCTTGGAATCGCCTCCAGCTGCGCCTCCCTTAACATCCGCCTTGCTGTCCTGCTCCTGATTGCTGCTCGCCTGGGTTGAGCCCGATTGTTGCTGCTGCTGCTGCTGCTGCTGTTGCTGCTCGGTGCCCGGCTCCTGCTTGATCACCGGCTGCTCCGGATGCTCTGCAGCTGTTGGCGGCTGAGTAACACCAGCTTTTGTGGAATGACTGCCAGCAGGATCTGGCGGATTGAGCAGTGTCTTATCACCAGGCACGCGACTCAGATAAGGCGCCAGCTGATGCATAAAGGCAATAGCGTAACGTCTAATCTGCTCCGCCAGCGGTGCATAGTCCAACGTACGTAGCCAATCGTCCAGCGGAGTCGTCACCTCTCTTTCGGATACGCCCACCTGGAGGATGCCGTCCCAGCCACGGATGGGCGTATGGCGACCCAGCTTGCACATCTCATACGTGCTGCTCAGTTCACGGAAATAGGTGCGAGTGCTCGCGACGACGTGATCATTGTCCGGACAAATGACGACGTAGACCACGTCCCGAGCATAGGAATAGGGCTCCAGCAGGAACTTATCCCAGTAGTGAATGGAATGTGGCGCCACAGATATCCAATCCTTTTCGTAGCCCACCACAACCGAAGGTATGGGTTGTGGTTCACACTGTCCAGAGGCTCGTCCGGCGAGCCGGTGAAATTGCCGCCAGGTCAAAGGACCGCTCACCGTATTGTAGGAGCTGGCGTCCTTGGAGCCCGCTGCACCGCCTCGCGACTTGCAGTGGAAGGCGCTCTGCAGCATGGGCTGGATGGCATTCATAGTCCGGACGATCTCCTTGTTGCTGCGGGTGAAGCCCACTGGCAGATAGGGCCACTTGTGCACCGTTAGACGACTGCTGCCCAGACTCAAGAGTTTCTGGCGAAGAGCGGGCGCCGCCTGGAAGGCCATGAGCTGTTGCTGCGACTGTGGTTGTTGCTGGTGCGGGTGATGGGGCTGGTTTGGATGCTGCGGATGATGCTGTTGACCGCCATGCTGGCCATGTCCATGTCCGAACTCGAGGAGATTCATGTCCAGGCGATGGTTCTCGAACGCCAGACGCGCCTGCTCCAGCGCCAAGCTGACCACATCGTGGGCATCCGTGAATTCCAGCACATTCGCAATGCTGGCCACCGAGGCGCCCAGCCGACGTTGTCTCGACATCCTCCGGCGGTGCGCCTGCAGAGCTCGATGCACCGAGCTGCTGGAGCTTTGTATGATGGAGCACTGATCTAGCAGCAGATCGAATATGGCATGCGCCAGCTGCTCCAGCTGCTGCTGCGCTGTGCCCGTCAGCTTTTCCAGCTCCTTGCCCGCGGAGGCATCCTTGCTGTTGTTATTGTTGTTATTATTATTGTTGTTGTTGTTGTTGGCGCCCTTGCGGCACAGCGACTGGATGAGCGCTAGCAGAGTGGGCTGCTTATTCCTCGCCGGGTCGTCCACAATGCCCGTAATCTCCAGCTCATCCTCGTAGAAGAGACCGGCCCGATGCGACAGTCGCCGATTGACCACAGCGCTGAAGCCGCACGTGCACTCCACGGGATCGTCGTCGACGTAGCCGGTTATGTGCGGATTACTGCTGGGCGGTGTACAGGATGAGGAGCCGCTGGAGCCACCATTGGGTCCATGGCCATGGCCATGCACGGAGCCAGCTCCGGACAAAGCAGCAGCCACTGGCGACGAGTCCAGCCCACCGCCAAAGGCACTCAACATGCGCAGACCACCAGCTCCAGCTCCAGCTCCTGCTCCTGCTCCTGCATACTGATTATAAGGCGTGACAGCACCAGCTCCACCTCCTCCGGCTCCACTCGAGCCTCCTCGTTGAGCTGGAAAGGGATTGAAGCTGCTGCCCGGCAGCGGCACATAAACTCCCGAATCCGCGCCACGTATATTCCCGATCTTCTGCGTGTCCGCATTACAGACGCAGACGCTGCTGCTGTCGAAATTGTGATCCCGGAAGACATTCAGTGCCGTGTCGTAGAGCAGGATGTTGACCAGCACAGAGTTCACTTCCGGCAGCTCCTGCAGCAGGCTCACAGCAGCAGCTGCTGCTGCACCCGTTCCCGATTCCGGTGCACTGCCCCCCGTATACTGCATCATGGCCAGCTTGGAATCGCCCGACATGAGAGCAGCTCCGCCTGCGGCTCCTCCGCTCATCGAGCCGTACACGTGGTGAGGCGTATGCGGATGTCCTGGCGGCTCCTGAGAGCCGTACGGCTTGTTGAGGTACGACGAGGATGTGGACGTGGCCGGACTAGCAGCAGCCAGCTCATACGGATACGGAGGAGGCGGATGCGTGGGCGTCTGTCGCATCGGATGATGCTGCTGCATGGGACTGCTGCGCGGAAATGGCACCACTCCTGGACCGCCAGGCGACGGAATGGGCGACATGCCCGCCCGCTGCATCAGCTGCTGCATCGAGCTGCCGGGCGGCGCCTGCGGGCAGTTGAGCTGATTCAGCAGCAATTGGCTGCCACCGCTGCTCAACGGCTGTGGAACTGTTGAGGGCGAGGGCATCGCTGTACTCATCGGAGTTCGAGGACCAGCCGAAAGCAGGTCGTGCAGCTGTTTGTGCTGCTGCTGCTGCTGTTGCTGCTGGTGTTGCTGTTGCTGTTGCTGCTGCTGTTGCTGCTGTTGCTGTTGGTGTTGCTGCTGCATTTGCTGATGCTGCTGGATGCGCTGCTGCAGCTGCTGATGCTTCTGGTGCTGCTGCTGTTGCTGCTGCGCGGCGGCCGCCTTTGCTAGCGTCGCGGCGCGCGACTTTTGGCTGTGGCTCCAGGTGGGATTGTAGAAGCAATTGGCGGGCAGCTGCAGAGGCGGCAGCGTCTGGCTGGGCAGATTGGTGAGCGGTGCATAGCGCGAGGAGCCAACGAACTTCTCCTGCTGTGGCGGCCTATAGACATAGCTCCAATCATCGATGGGCTCCTCGACGGGACTGCCCAGCTCCACGCTGTATTCCTGCTTGACCATCTTCAGCATGACTCCGAGGCCCACTGACGTAGCTGTTGCTGCAACTGTGGCTGCTGCCGTTGTGATTGTTGCTGAGGGCACCACCAGCACGCTGTTTGTTGTTGTTGTCGTCGTCGTATCCACACTCAGATCGGTCATGACAACGTCCGTTTGGCAGGGACTCAGGTTGAGATGCTGCTGCTCGTGCGAGGGCGGCGTGGGAAACATTTTGGTTAGGTCTTCGGCTTGAATGCTGCCCGCACCACTGCTGGCGACGACAGCGGCCACCACAGCGCTCGTCACGGCGGTGCTGCGCTTCAGCTCGTCGATGGTGTTGGTGACAGCGCTGCAGCCGCCATTCGAGGGATTGTTGGAGTCGGGCGGCGTGTGAATCTGCACGCTGCTGCACTCGTCATTCGAGCTCGTCTCGAACAGCTGCTCCAGGTCGTTGAGCGAGGGATTCAGGCCCTCCGCTGTGAACAGATTGCCACCGCCGCTGCCCGCAGTGCTGGTGGATTTGGTTTCCTTGCAGGGCGAGTGCAAGCCTGGCTCCGTCTTGATGTCCAGGCAGGGGAAGAAGCTGCTTCCGTCGCCCGCCGCCGATGGAGCTTCACTCTTGACGAGCGCATTGTCCGCCTCATCTGCGCCGGCTGCATTGCCGAAGCCTGCATTCGTGGCTATGCCCACCAGTCCACCGCCTGCGCCGCCCGCTCCCTTCCCACTCTCGCTCGCAGCTCCGAGTGATGCCACAGTGCCGCCTTCAATGGTCAGCAGCGAGCCGTAGACAGAGCCCGGCGAGGGCATCAGTGGCTTGAAGTGCGTGTGCCCCTCGTACAGATTCTTGGCGTAGCGCGGATGTCGCAGCTTGACCGATTCATTCAGCTTGGGTCGCTTGACGGGCAGATTGTCCCTGTTTAAGAAGTGGAGCACGGATTAGTAATAGCTAAAGTAAAGCGCGATATTGCACCTACCAGGACTCTTGATAGCTGAAATCGTAGACCTCTGTAAGCCATTCCTCGTCGTAGACGCTGTCGCCATCCTTAAGCGTCAGCTGTGGCGGTTTGTATAGATTGAAGAGATTGGTGACAGCTTCCATGGTGCTGGTTGCCATCGACTGCTGCTGTTGCTGCTGCTGTTGTTGTTGCTGCTGCTGCAGCTGTTGTTGTTGCTGTTGCGGCAGCTGTTGACTGCCGCGCCCTGTGCCCGGCTCCTGTTTAATCGTCGTCTGCTGCTGCTGCTGCATCTCCAGCTTCTTAACGCTAATCGTGCCACATTGCGCACCAGATCCAGGTGCTGCTGTTGCTGCTCCTGCTCCTGCTGCTGCTGCAGCTCCAGTGCCCGCTCCCGTTGCCGTTCCTGGTCCTGCTCCTGCCGCTGCTCCAGCTGCTGCTCCGCCTGCTGTTGGCGTCGCAGGCTGCTGCTGGGGTACACTGCCGGGCGCATTCAGAGTGGCAGGTGCACCACCCTGTGACCCGTGATCCGCGTAAGTGGGAGGCTCCACACTCGGTGTTTGATGTACATAAGGCGAGGCAGTTATGCTCTTACTATCGTGCTGATCCGTGGGCGTGGGCGCTGGCGTATTCTTGTCCAGCAGGTGATCGATGGGCGTAGGCGGTTGCTGAAGATTCGATACTGATGTGGGCGCATGTGGACTCATGTTGAGCAGCTGCAGCGGTGGAAAAAGAACGTGCATTAGTAAAGAATGAATTTAAAAAGTACACCATTTAAATTGTGAATCGTTCGTCACTTGGACTCACTTGCTCAGCGGCGGGCGGCACCGACGTGGGCTGCGAGTGCGCCGAATTGGAAAGCGGATGTGGTGATGGTGCTGGCGTGGCGGGTGAACCCACTGAGGAGGATGCAATCGGCGGCATCGACGATGAATCGCCCACGGAATTGCGTGAATAAGTTGAAGCGCTGCCCGCTCCGGTTCCTCCATGGCAGGGCGTGGCACTGCTGCCACCGCCGCCTCCTGAAGCGTTGCTGAGATGTCTAATTGTTAATAAAATAAAGAAAAAGGGGCAGACATACAAGAATTAGAATCAAATATTTGCATAATTATTATAATGTTTAATGTTAAGTTAATTTACTATATGTAATTAATTAAAACTTGTTGGCTCAGCCAGGCGCAACATGCTTGTTCCGTTATATACAATATATAAACTAGATAAATAAAAATAACTACGAATTAATAACTTCACACTAAATCTTAATTCGATATTAATCGATAACGAACTTTGATAATGGTAAGCAAACAAAATATAGGTAAACACCACATCCAAGAGAGAAAAAAAGGAGAGCAAGAGCGAGCGCATTTTCAACTAAAATAATAAATTGAATTAACAAAATAATAATATAAAAACATTGCAGCTGCTACTTATTTACATATATGTTATTTACAGCCATATATATGTATGTAGAGATGATAACGTGTCTGTTTGTATGTGTGCGTGTAACTGCAGCGGCTCTACAGGCAGCTGCAATCGATAGATCGCACATGCAACGGAAGGAGATGGCACCGATAACGATTGGCAGTGTGCGTTATTTTCAAATTATCGCCAACAGCGCGAATGCCAAATATGTAACTGTAACTTTGTTAACGGTGTGTATGCATGTATGTATGTATGTATGTGTGTGTGTGTGTGTGTGCCTTTATTTGTTTATTACTTTGCTGTTGTTGTTTTTCCTACCCCATTTACCACAAAGTTCAGCAAAAAAAAAAAGTCCAATTGTTATTTGTTAAATGGTGAATATGCCAACAAGGGTAAAAAGTGTACGAATTTATATGCTTGTGTTTGTGTGTGTGTGTATATATATATATATATATGTATTCGAATTTTAAGTTGATTTAGCATTAAAGGAAAAAGTTAAGTAAATAATTGAAAAATAAAACCAAACAACCAACAAATTCATTTAAAAAATTTATGTTAAAAAGTTAACAGAGCGTGTTGCTGTTGTCTTGTTGATGATCAGATAGGAAGAGAACGAGAAAGAGAGCGCATGGAAGTTAACAGAATATAAACAACTTAAGAAAACGTCTGTGTGTGTGTTTGTGAGTATGTGAAATAAAATATATACAGAGCGTATTAACAGTTAATATCAACCAAGGAAAATAAAGAGATTTGGCAATAAACACATACACACACTCACGCACACACACACACGTCTGAACAGCGACACAAACCTTTGTTTTGGTATATTGGTGTCTGTTGTTGTTGTTGTAGAGGAAGTAGTGTTGTTGTAGTTAGGTTTAAGCGCTGTCTGAGTATTAAGTAGAGAACGCTGATGAAACGGCACAATTTGTCGCTTGAGGCCGACAGCAGCGTAGGAGGAGTAGTGGGTAGAGGAGTAAGAGGAACTGCAATTGCTGTTCAAGTAACCAACACTGGAACTGGAATGATGAGCCGCCCGTTGATGATGCTGATGTTGTTGTTGGAGTAGCTGATACGTTGACTTGCTGCTGCTGCTAGCGACACCGATCGCAGCTCGCAGCGCTGGCGAGCCAATGCTGCTGCTGCTGCTGCTGCCGCTGCTGCTGCTATGCTGGCGTTTGCCGCTGCCAACGCTGACAGTGCTGCTGCTGCCGTTGCCGCTGCTGCTGCATTGTGCGCTGAAATTTGGTGGGTTTTTGTGTTAAACTTTAAAATCAACTCTCGCGAGCTTTTACGTTTTTGTGGTGACTCTCTGTACGATTTTTGCACCTTTCTATTAGATTTCTCTCGTATATTTATATCTATATCGATTTTTAGCTGAAAGCGTATTAATATCGACAACACATGCAACGTTGATCGATAAACACACACACACACAAATAACTAGTTTAATATAACTATTATTATAATATATGTATATCAAAGAGGGGTTTCTGCGTTCTTCTAGACATGCTTTCAAAGCGTTTTATCTGCATTACATTTGTATGTTTATATTGATATTAATATATACTTATACGATTCTTAACAAATCTCTCTACTAACAATTTCGCACATACTCCGAAAACGAAAACGTAAACGAAAGAAGAAAAAAAAACAATGCAAAACACTCCGCGCAGTGTGCAGATGGAGAGAGCGCAAAAGAGCTTAAGTAGTACGAGTGGAACAGGAGTAATAGTAACAGTAACAGTTTAAGAGAGAGAAAGAGCGCGTAACAAGTGGTGAGTTAGTTTGAAAAAGAGAGCGAGACGAACTTACTTGGTACATATGCAGGGCGCCTTTTGCATGGGATCCACAAAGTTCCACAACTTTTGGCGTTGCTTCTGCTGCTGTTGTTGGATTTGCTGCTGAACCAGCTGCTTGGAATCCGTTTGCTTGCTCTCCTCCTCGTCGGCTGATGCGGCTGCTGCCGCCGCCGCTGCCGCTGCGTCCACATGCAGCGTATTCATTATGCAATCCTGCCAGGCACGCTCCGGCATTTCAATGGCCGCCGATGGGGGTATATGAGTATTATTTGTATTGAAGGTGAAGCCCGATGTGGGCCGCTGATCATAGTAGGGCTGAAACGTTAGGCGTTCCAGAGCGCTGACCGCTTGCGTTGCCGCCTTACGCGATTCCTTGGCGTCTGCTAACGCCGCTGCTGACGCCGCCATGGACAGCGCTTGTGCTGCCGCTGCCTGCGTCGCTCCCGTTCCCGTTGTTGCTGCTGTCTGTGGATCGCTGCTTGCACCGTTTGCTTTGCCGTGCAGCTCAGCGAATTCCATTTCTTCCATGTCATCCAGATCCGTGACTAGTACATAATTTGTGGGATGGTACATCTTATGTCCACCTGGCCAATGCATATCAAATTAATCATAAATTAATATATATTCATATACATGAGTGTATTTCGAACTCACCCGATACCACCTCCACGACGGGCGGCACATCCGTGTTGTCCTTATTGCACAGCGGAAAGAACGAGGCCCAGTCCTCGAGTATCTTTTCGGCCATTGGATCGCTCGCCTTGTAGCTATTCCCCGTGAGTATTGCCGCAATGCCAAAAGGCGCCAGCATTACCTTGCGCGCCTGCGTTGGCGTCGCTGTCGACGTCGCCGCCGACTTCTCGCCAGTTCCATTTCCAGTTGCCGCATCCAGCAGTGGTGAATTCGCCGGCAGTTGAGCTGTTCCGCTTGCATCCTGGCCACGTGCTCCCGCTGCTCCGCCCCCACTGGCAGCAGCAAAGGCAGCCGCTGCCTCGGCCAAGTGCTCCTTGGTCAAAGGACGCACCGCAGGATGCTCGCGCAAATCGATTGAAGCGCAGACCGTGTCACCATGCACGAAGAAGGTAAAGGAAAACGACAAATGCTGCGAGCTACAAGAGATAGAGAGGCATAGCATTAGTGAAATTCTCTCGAAATCCTCTCTTATAATCAAATCTGGAATGTGGCTGGAAGAACGATGCGACTGCATAAGCTTCAATGCAATCGCACAGAGTTCCAGTCTGGAAGTAGTTTACTCTGGGATGAATGCCTGCAGTTCCAATGGAATACACAGCAATTGAAACGGTTTTTGTAAAGCATTTCATCCCCTCTTTCTTTAAATATTATGTTTGGATCCCTCACCTGCGCCCAAAGAGACGATCGCTGGAAGTGCAGGGCTGCACGAACCATTTGCCGAAGCGCACAATGTCCTTGGTTAGCACGAATCTAAGAGTAGACAGGATAATTAGTTGTCAAATCTAGCAGAGTATTTCCAATATAGTTTTACTTACCTTTCCATGAGATTGTGCAGTGCCTTGAAGAGCAGCGACCGACACTCGTAGGTCAGCTCGCCCTTCCAGGTGCCATTCCAGAGCGATTGATTGGCTGGAAATGGAAAGAATACATAATAAAATTAAAATTAAGAGCAAAATTGTGTTTTATTTAATAAATATCTAGCTGTTTAAAGTAGTTTTCCACACTGGAAAGTCAATTCCATTCCTCCCAGCTTCCATTTCTCTAAAGCGAGCAAGTTCACTTACATATTGCGTTCCACTTTCTGATTTTAGTGTGTGGAACGCATTTGAAAGGCGGAAAATTACCGCGCGCGTAGCTTTGCTATTTACAAACAAATACTTCAGCATATAAGTGTGCTTGTATGTGTGCTTATGAAAATACAATAACGCAAAACAATTCCATCACCAAAAATTTAAGCATCGCGCGCTTTGAGCATTTGTTGTAAAAGCGATTCTTAATTTGTTATTGTTTTGCGACGCGCACGCAGCCCAACGACAAAAACAACTCTCGCTCTCCCTCTCTAAAGAGAGGCCGTGAGTGAGCGAGACAGAGCTAGTGGTATTCACAGCTAGTGCATAGCGACAAGAAACTACGAGAATTTTGTATGTAAATGCAGCAAAACGGGAAAGAAAACATGAAAACATGAAGAAGCAACAAAACGGTCCCCAGCAGGCCCAAAAGGCAACCAGCAGAGGGCAGTAGGCAGGCAGGCAGGCAAATCAAAAGCGGAAGCGCAAACAAAATGCCACTTAAAACAAAACACAAAAAAAAAAAAAAAATGAAAATCAAAATCAAACGGTGCGGAGAGTCGAGTCGACAAGTCGGCTGTTTACAATGCGGCTACGAATGAGCGGGAGTGGGGGAATAGTCGAGATGTTGTTGTTTTTGGAAAATTCCAAGCATCTCAAATACACACACACATACGCACACACACTGCCATATTCGCGCTGACACCTACACACGCATCAGCAGCGGTGACTGTCGACTGCGGCGTCAACGTCATTTACAGAGCGCAGCATCAACGCCGGTCCACCCTCTGTACTAAACAATAATAAAAAATGAACTCCACGCACACACACACAGGATAGAACAAGATAAGAGAAAAGAAGAATAACCAAAAGAGGCCAGCCAGAGGCGCAGACAAGGCAGCACCAACAAATGTTGCAAAGATAATTACGTAAAGGTAAACAACATTATAAATAACAAAACACAACCTAAAGAAAAGAGCGAGCAGCGCGACCCGCTCACGCTACACTCACAATCACACTCACGCTCGCACTCAAAACTCAAAGAGTGGCAAGGCAGGGGGCCGGCGAGTGAGCTGAGCATGAGTGTGAGCGCGAGCGTGAGAGAGTGAGTAAAATGTGTACGAAAACCAGCGAGTACCGACGTCGCGTCGCGTCGACAGCAAAAACAATGCAGCGGACTGAGGCAGCGGCTTAGGCTGGGCTTTGGAAATTTATGCTGTTGGTAGTTTTTGTTGCCGCAGCTATTACAAGCCTGCTTGTGGATTTCATTGTTTGCATGTGTGGGTATGTGTGTACCTTCTTTCAATGAGATCAGCGTAAAATTTTTACCAGAGGGCAATGTACGATTATGTATGAGTATGTGTGTGGATCTGTATGTATTTACATGCTAGTGTGGCCCAGCCGGGGTCAAACCGAAAAACAGACAGCAATACTTAAAAGCTCAAACTTATATAGAGAGCCAGCTAGTAAATGACTGTAAGAGAGAGGGGGGCTAAGAAAAACTCAAAATGCTGCTTTTTTTGTCTCATCCAATTGAAGCATAACCGGACAGCAGCAAACAAACTGCAAAGCATACAACGAAATTCCCCAAAACCTACAAATCCACAATACCAAATTAAAATTGCCGACCCGCCGTTCGTGGGTCTTCGTCTGCAGGCAACCACGAAACTCATTCCCGGCCATAACAGGAATATGACGACGGCTGCTCAATGCAAATTCCAAATACACACACACATACAGAGGCAGAGGCAGAGGCAGACATACTATGTATCTGTGTATTTTTGTATTTTTTGTAGCACGTGTGGTTTGTGCACATGTTGCTGCCGACAGCGACTCACGCAGCGCGACAGAGATAGCTATGAAGAGCGCCAAGAGAGCGGGTGAGAGGAGTCCGAAACAGTAGTCTTATGTCTGTATCTGTGAACATGTACTAGTTATGCGCAAACATTCGCTGTTGCTGAGTGAGTGAGTGAGTGAAAGAGTGAGTGAGTAAGCGAACGAGTATGTGTTTGGGCAAAAGTGCCGCTAGTTTTTAAGGCATGCACTCGTTCACTCTCCCACACACACACACACACACTCTCAAACACTTAACGAAGAAGAGAGCCTTTCGCACTGTTGTTGTTGTTGTTGTTTGTGCTTGAAACGCTATTTTAGGTTAAAAACTTGCTACCACAGCAAAAGCGAATGAAAATGACGTGCAAACGGGCCAACAATGACAAGCGTGCGAATCACCGTGTGCGTGTGTTTGTGTGTTTGCATTTGTGTGGATAATTACAGTGCCTTGATACAATTCTACAAGCGTACGCCAATTTCACAATAAATTTTATGAGAGCTTTGTTGGAAAGATTTGCGTGTGTGAAGCGTGCAACAAGCAGCAGGCGGGGCATCGCAAATATTTTTGATATGCAATTGTTGTTGTTTGTATAGTTGTATTATTAATCAAGGTCAATAATCTGCATATGTGAGTGAGCACACACATTGAAAATTGGTTAAGTACAAGAGAAACAACAACAACAACAGGCAGAAACAGCAAGTAAACGGAGAGAATGCAAAATTTTGCAGCAACAACAACAACAACAAAGCGCATTGTAATTAAGCTTAAAAACCAGTTTAAAAACGCGCACAAAAGAGAACCAACGACAAGAGCGCACAATCACTCACACACGTACACACGTATATATGCATAAGTGCTGTGAGCTCATAATTATTAGCCCCAATTGTAGAACGCGCTCACACGAATAACGCAAGCATAAGAGAGAAATAAACATACACACACGCACACACACACATAGAATGTCAAAACAGCAGCAGCAGCAGCAGCAAAGTGACAGCTGTTTAGGGTAAAATGAGCGACAACAAAAACAACAGCAGCAAATAGCAATGACAACAAGTAGCGACACGCTTATCGATATTATCAAATCATGTTTATCGAATTGCAGTCCAAAAGTCAAGGCACTTCCAACGTCGACATTTTTCTAGATAAAACCATTTTTTTTTTATAGACAAATCTTCAAAGGCGAAAAGACGAAACTCTCTCAGCAAGTGATGAGCAGCGACGCACTCAATATAAAAGCGCTGACCATGTGTGTACAATATATAGTGACGTCCGTTTTATGCGGCCCGAAAACAACAAAAGCTTTGGTAAGTTGAACAACAACAACATCAACTACAACAATATCAGTAGCGCTGCGTTGCCACTTTTCACTGGGCAGCAGCAGGCACGAAGCGTCTCATTCTCGTCTCTCTTCATTCATGCCCACTCACTCACACTTGCACAGCCAAGTGCATTCACACTCGAATCTTTTTTGTTTGTTGTTTGCGGCAAAGTAAAAGGCTATAAAAAGAAAAGAGAATTCGCACACATACACACCCATACGTCGAGCCAATGTAATGTCAATGCAATTAGTCAATGTCCTTGTCATTTAAAACAAACAAACAAAAAGCAATATTAACAACAACAACTCTCAACTGAGCGTCGGGGTCAACAACAATTTCACAACACACACATTCATCTCGTACGCCGGCGTCGCTGCGGCAACTGTGGCAATTTCGAGATATCTACAACTAACTGTAAAAGTCAAGTGACCAGCAATATGACGTCGAGCAATCAAAAGTGGGGTACTCTGCTAACTGCGTTACGATTAAGTTTAACGTTTAACGTTGACGTATGTTTTGGGAATGGAATTTGCCACTAGAGCGAGACAGGCAACATTTGTTAAGAGATAGCTTGATAATTTGTGGTTCCAGATAGCGTTTCGGATGGCTGTGTGTAAGCATGAGGCAAAAATTAAATAAATATAGTAGCCGCACACCGCAAAAACTACTGATAAGAGGCGAAATAACGACAGCAAGAGAAGCAGCAACAGCAGCTCCTACAGCAAACCGAGGCCGTTATTGTTTTCGACTGCGAAGGAACCAACCCCCGAATCGTAGCTGCAGAACTGCCGAGGCGGCTGTAGCGAATACCAAGAGAGCGCAAGCGAGAGCGAAATAGAAGTAAAGAGCGGGAATATGTGAGAGCTTAATGGAGCGTCAGCAAGTGGGAGAGTGGGAGAGTGCGATTGTGAGCGTGTGAGTGTGTGAGCGCGCCCACCACACCAGAGAGCGAATTCAACGAAACAAAAACATTGCAAATGACACAGGTGACGTTCAACGCGTGGGCTGACCGCACGGCGCTGTGGGCGAACAACGGGAGGGGGAGAGAGACAGAGGAAGGAGAAGACGACGTTGTTCTGCTGGCGCTGCTGCTACTTCTGCCGATGACAGACGAACAACGCGCCATGTGAATAATGTTGGAGAAATACATATACAACGCACAAACACATTCGCAATATGATTTGATATACGCGAGTGCGCGCATGCATGGCTCTGTGTCTGTGTGTGTGTATATATAAATGTGTGTGTATTGTTTTGGTTTTCTCATGGGTACAACAAATTTTTAGCTTGCTGCACACGCTGTGGCCTTGAGGTTTTATTAAATTTCATAAAAAGCTCATAATGTAACGAGCGCTCTCAACGTATTGTTTTGCATTATTTATGTGTGTTACCATAAACACCCTCATCTATATATGTACACACATACATTCTTACAGACATCTGTAAATATTCATGTAACTGTTCTGCCTGACTGATTAATGATCAAAGCAAAGCAAAGCAAAAACCGTTAGAGAATACGATGGTGAGTTTTGTTTATGTAATTCACCACAAAAAATGAAAGTTGGAAGTTGCGAAATTTCATTAACTGGAAGTGGAATATGAAGAGCTCATATGTATCTATATGATATCAAAGGTACTTCCTCTCACATATATTCTATAAGTTTCATTTCCATTTGATTTAGACTTACCCGCTATTTTAAGTAGATCCGCATCGACCAGCTCCGATAGATCCGGCTCCTCGCCATACCAGAAGATCCACAACTCCTTGGCAGCTGCAAGCGATAGGGGCGGGTGTACAGTGGTCGATGTGGTAATCTCAAAGTTTAAGGCATTCGGATCGGAGTTGTCCTGCTTGGTGGATTGCACGCGCCGCCACACGCACAACATATCCGCCTGCATGCATCGTGAATAGGAGCGGAGAATTGGATCGTCCAAAGGATCACTCGATGCATTTGGACGTTCGCCATTAACGAACTTGCGCCATTTAATTCCACACAAATCAGTCTGTAAAGAGAGAGAGAGAGAGACGATGAGTGTTGGTAAGTTTTATTATTATCATCGATTGCTTCATTAGAATAAATAATATGTATCGAGAGAGATAAGCGTCATGTAGATAGAGATAAAGATACAACTATGTATATTTAAATATAATCAACAACACCAACACAACCACGCATACACATGTACATTATGTGACACAATCGATGGGTTGGTCAAGTGTTTGCATTGCTCAAGTAGCTGCCTCTATCTCTGCAACTGCTACAGGAGCTCTTCGATAAGCTGAACTCATTCTGATTTCGGCCAGAACAGAACAGAACAGCTGTTTAGACCTTTGTTCGCAATGCGACAGCTGCTTTTGATTAGTTGCTTAGAAACGTCAGTTCTATTTAAAAGCTTATCTCTAAGAAGTTATCTCAAAAATCTACGAACATTTCTTATGTTATGGAAAAGAGAAAAAACAGCTGATTTATATTGAAAGAAACTTCTTAAAATTTAATAAATTATAGTTTTATATTTTATTATAGTTTTTCAAAATTAAAATAAAAAGCAAAGTACAAATATATAAAGTGAAGATTTTAACCAATTAGATCTTTGTTTTTTTTTTTTTTTTTCACTGCTGCTCAACGTTAGAGTTCACTATATCGCATTCTTACTGTATTTAAACGTATGCATTTCAACTAACCCAACTCCCACGTTTTGTTTACAATCCCCACACACACACAAAATAATTTCGATTAGTCGCACCACAGCAAAAAAGCTGTGAAAACAACTGTAAATGTATGCGGTGGCAGTGTTGCAAAATGCCGCACATACACACGCTCACAACATTCCATTGCGGCTGCACTTGTAACAGAAAAGAAGAAGAGAAAACGAAAGGCTTAAAGCAAAACGCAACAAAACAAGAGAGAAGAGCTCAAAGCAGAAGACGCTGAATAAAAGAAAACCTAAGCGAAAAAAAAAAAACCACAAAAATGGTAGAGAAAAGACTACGAATGAAAGAAAGAAAAAAAAAACTGGCTAGGGTCGTGTCTTTGGCTCGTCATTGGCGGCTTCCGTTGCGAGTTTTGTAGCTTTGGAACAAGTTGTCGTAGTTGCTGTTACTGCTGCTGCGCTGCTGTAGCAAGCACAAATCAATGGCCAAAGGCAGTACCAGCAGAAGCAGCGACAGAGGCAGAAGAGAGCGTCAAAAGCACAAAAACCGAATTCGAAAGACTGCGCGCATACACAAATACACATAAAAGAAAACACGCAAAACATGGCCAAATAACTGCACCTCACATACACACACGCACGCACGCAGACAGAGCAGAGCAGCCGCAACAATAACAACGCAAGCAAAAGGTATTCCCCAAACCACGAATGGCTGCCGAGCGCCGACAACGCCGACGAGCGTCGCCCCCAACATTAAACAAAAACAACAAAAACGACTATAGCAACAGCAACAACAGTTCGTTGCGTTCCACATTCTTCCCTTTTGATTTTCGTATTTTATATTTCGTTTTAAGCATCGCAATTTGTGTTTTCATTTTTCGCTCTCGTTTTTACGCCGCTCGCTACAAATATCTTGTTTTTTTTTTTTTTTTTTTAGTTTTGACTGAGGCATTTTGTTTCTTTAGTATCCTAAGCCCAGCAGAGTCTGTCTTCTGCTGTTTTCAACATTGTCATTAGCAGAATCAAACAGCAGCAAAAACAACTATTTACGTTCAGGTCGCTGTCTTTTATCTGCCGACGTCAGCGGCGTCTCGGTGCACACACACACGCAACACATGCACACGAGTATCTTTGCAATTTTCATGCTCAATCGGCAATACAAGCAAACATTTATTCAGTATGCTCTCTGCATGCGCTGGCGGCTACGCTGCTTGCGCTCGTTTTTCGACGCCTGTGGGCCATATATTATAGCGGACTTCTCTCTCTCTCTCTCTCTTTCTCACACACACACACTAGAATATGCACGCACGCACGCTTCTTACTGTATGCGTTTGTGTGTGTGTGTGTTATCATTCTGACACGCTTTGCTAGTGTTTGTTCACGCGCGCGTGCCTCCCAAGTTCAAGCTGACTTGTTCACTTTTTTCTTAATGCTTTTTTGGTTTTCTGGTCTCTCTCTTTAAATGGGTCTGTTGCCTAGCAGACTCACACTCTCGCTAACTCGCACGCTCTCGTTGGACGTTTTTACTCGCTCAGAGAAAGTTTTGCGCGTTTGTTATTGTTTCGTTAATTCGTACAGCGTTCGTTGGCGCGTCAGCCTCTCTGTCGCGCTTGTTGTCTGCTGCTGCTTCTTAAGGCGCCGTAGGTTGACGGCAGGCGTATGCAGCACGTTGACTTGTCTACGTCGACGTCGCCGTCGCCGTCGCCGTCGACTTTGCCGTTAACATCGCGCTCAGGCGTCCATTTGAGCTTTTCCTTAGCATTTATTTTATACATTTTACTGTTTCTGTTTCTTTGCTTGTTGTTGTTGTCTTGTCTTTGAGCAAGATTCATTAAAGAAATATGCCACTGGCTGCGCGCAGCTTGAGTGTGTGAAAAAGAAACGGCGCGACCCGGCGGCCAACTAGACGTCGAAGAAGAACCTGTTATGACCGGACAATGTTGTCGCATGTAGTACGCACACACACATACACACACAGATACATTGTGATTGTTGCTGCCTTTTCATTTCTTTTCTTTGACTTGTCTTGTATCTATGCATAGTTCCGCTTTTGTGTGATTTTTTAGGTGAAAGAAAATAACGTTATAGAGTCGGAGCGAAGAGAGGAGAGCGAGAGCGAAAACGGTAAAACACGCAACCATACTTAATCAATGGCCATTGGCAATGATTATCGATAAACAGCTGGCGATCAGCGTGCGCGTGGGCGCCCAACACTCGACTAACCTGAAACGCCCTGTGCTGCATTTGTCACTGACCTAGATCTAACGGAAATGGCAAAATGGAACTAGATTGTGCGACAAAGACGGGACACCTTAATTGTTGTTCTCTTTTGTTTTTGTTTTTTCTTTACACTTACCAAGGCATAAAAGTTTGTATGGCAATCCTCCAAACTTGCGCCGTTTGTCTGATGATTTTGATGCGTCATAGTTCTTGGCTTATATTTGCACAACAGCAGCACCTCATTTTCTCAAGATGTAGATTTATTATGTACACACACATATATAGTAATTAATATATGTTTAGTATTTTGTAGCTGCAGTTGTTGTTGTTGTTACACATTTGTTTTGATTGGATATTTGTTGCTTTGAATTTTTTACTTATTGCTGTTGTATTGATTCTTCTTATATGACAATAGATACAGTGAGAGAGCAAGAGAGACATACACACACACAGGCACAGACACAGACACGTACACAGAGACACAAATTGCGTTGCTTTTTGAGTGAATTTTTTTTCATTTATTCTTCTTGTATTTGTATTTTATTTTTGCTGTTGATTTGCAGCTGTTGCAGTTTGCAGCTACTTTGAATTTTTGGTGTTTAATAGCAGAACGAAAATTGATTATGCACGTATTTTGATTATTTTCATAATTAAGAATTCTTTTTATGTATTTTCTATCTATTTTTAATGCACTTGGCACACACACACATATTGCGGCACATTTTCATTTCGTTGTTTTGTTTGTGTGCGTGTGTATTATTATTATTTACGTCGCTGCACTGTAAGAAAGAAGTGAAGATTATTGTCATTTCTATTATTATTATTGTTGTTGTTGCTGTTGTTTTTGAATATTTCGTTTTCGTTTATGCGCGCGCTTCCGAAGCCGAAACACGTTCAGTTAAATCAATTTTGAAATCAGCAACAACATCGCAGTCAAGTTTGCTGTAAAGCGAGAGAGAGACTTGGCTTTCGGCGAATTGCACTCACAAAACACACACATCCACACTCATGTTCACTCATACTTACACATTCGCATTTACGCTGGCACACGACAATAAAAAAACAATTTTGTATTTTTAACGTTTAGTCTTATTGTTTTTTTATTGAGACTACTGCTACTACTTCTGCTTCTACTTATTTGTTGCTCTCTCACAAATACACGCGCACATTTGCGGCAATTACAAGGGTGGACGGCCGCAGCAGCACACGTCCATCTACTGCTCCAACTCTGTCGCTCTCTCACTTCATGGAGCTGAACCACTGTCCATTCATTCGACATTGAGCGCAAGACGAAAGCGAGCGAGAGACTCGACGCACACACTCACGCACACTTCCACACAAACCAAATTGACTTTTTCAAGGCGCGCAGTCGACGTGACGAGCGAGAACGACGACTGGGGTGCTTCTTAGTGTGTGTATGTCTGTGGTTGTATCAGCGAGAGAGCAAACGAGTCACACTTATGCATGCATACATATAAACACCGACGCACGACGATGAAAGTCGTTGAGTTTTCGTTAATCGTTGATGTAGACAAAAAAAAAGGAAAGAAAACGAAAAAACTAAAATAGGTAGTTTTTTAGCTACAGTTTATACAAATTGAGTAAATATGTAAGATATAAACTTTTGTATATATATTCTAAATGCGTCGTTTTAATTGTCTGCACATAACGGTGTGTGAACACTGTTGTTAAGCTTGCAAATTGTGCATTTTGAAATACCTTTTTCTGTATACATTTTTTCGTATTTCGATTTTTCACAATATAAAGTTGTAAGTTATTTGCGGTTTGCGTGCTGCGACTCGCTCTCTGTCTCTTTCTCTCACTCACTCACAGTCTTTGTGTGTGGAACAGAGGCAAGAAGCAGCAGAAGATGAGTAATAGTAAATTGTAATGAGTTTGTGCCTAAAAAGAAACACACACACACAACATCACATGCACGCACACACACACATGCACACGTACACAGAGCATTGACAACGATGGGAGACTTGATTGAATTTATTGCTAATCTTTTTTATATCGAACTTGCACCTTGCACTGCCTTCTGCGCCGCATTAAATACATATTATTTTTAATTTATTACTCAATATACACATATGTAGCCGAACGTATATATTTATAAATATATGTATATAAGTGCGTTTTTCTCGCTTTTCGCACAACACCAAATGACGAGTCAGAAAATTTAAAACCGACTGCGAGACCGTTTCTGCTTCTGCTGCTGGTAGCTGGCAACGACAACGACGACGCGACATCGCCACACACAATGGAAATTTTGCTCGTCTAGCTTTGCTTTTGGTTTTGAGTAGTTGCTAAAACAGAGAGAGAGCAACAGCTACGGGCCAAAGCAGCGAGTAGCGAGAATCCAAACGAGCAACAGCAGTAATAGCAGCAGCCCACTCAAAAGCAGATTTGTGAGTCCTCTCTTTTAACGAATAGCGGCGTTTTGCTCATTTTGCAAGTGAGCGGGATCGAGTGCCAGAGCGAGAGAGCACACACCGCACGGCCAAACAAGTTTGTTTTCTTACATATATATATATATCTGTGTGTGTGTATGTTTATTATACGGACGCTCATTCTCTCTCGCTACGTCTCACTGTCTCTTTTGTGCATCGCCCTCTTCTTGTGAATGCTGCCTGGTTAGGGATGCAACTTTTTTTTGTTTGAAAACCGGAGAATAAACCAGATCGATTTGCTCAACTATGGCGCAGACAAAATGGCCAGTCGAACATTTTGGCAAACGGCAACCATGCTTACAATGATTCCGTTGTGGGAGAGAGTGTCAACGATCTAATGCACTGGCTTCAAAACATAAGCCAAATATGTAGATATTTCAAAGAATCAGAATTCAAATCTGTAGACTTCATGTTTTGTGCACTACACAACACTAATCACACAACACACACACACACACATACTTCGACTTATATACATATATGCATACAGAGTGCGAAACGTGATACATAGACAGCATTCCTCTCGCATTCACACGCACACACACAACACTACCCGTGGTGAACGCACCTATGTGTGTATGTCATATATACACAAACGTAGCAGTGACGCGAGCAACCACTTTCGTAGGTTTTCTTTCGAATGTGTGGTACACATCTTTTTTACATATTATTTGTTTAAATTTACCAAGTAGCCGTTTTATGATCTTGACTTTTACATTTTCTCAGTAATAATTATATTTTTTCACACCGCGACCGCTTTTATGTTCCTTTCGTTTGCATACATATATATATGTCTTCACACACACACGCATGAAATATACACTCAACGACAAGCTCACTCACATACAAACTCACAAAATGATCCCCTTTCCAGCGGCAAGCATTCCAATTATTAATGCCATTGCGGAAATATTTAAATGCAGTTACATATGAATGTACATAACGTACATTGAATGTAATTATGCTAAATTGTTAAATGGCTGCACTGTTATTTATATGTATTATTTTAATATGCTTCACTCTCATGGCTTTGTCTCTTTCTCGCACGACACATATACGTGCATATGTATGCGGATGTACATATATTTTCGCATTTCTTTGGCTTTGACTCTTTTTATCATTTACATTTCTTATACGCTGTTCCACTTTCTATTCCCATTTTGTTTTATGAAACATGCACTTCTTAAATTTAACCGGCACTATACACTCCGCTTGCATGTCTTGCACGTACATACTTGGCGGTTTTTGCAGTAATTTTAAATTTAATTAAAATCCACGGAGCAAAAAATTTTCCAGCAAACTACCGTTTTCTTTGCGTTTCTACGTCCGAACGTCGCGACGGAGTGTTGGCAAGCGACTTGAAATAAGCGTTGCATTTGGTTGAGCAATTCAGCTGTTCGCAAGAGCCAAGTACGCAGCTCACACAAGCTGTTCGGATGAGATGCTGTAAATTTAATTTGTTAATTATAAATTCCATTAAAAATATGAATATATAAAATTTTTGATGAAAGGAACATATAACTAAGTAAATCATCAAATCATCAGTCGATGCAGTTAATGCTTAATGGCACTTGATTGACAACAAGCTGTCATAACATAACTATCGATATTAGTTGTTGCAAAACAACAATTTATTAAATCTATAAATGTGATATTTGAAGCTTAAAATTATAAATTGTAATACTTGAAGCTAATATACATATATTAAAAACTATTTAATTTCAAGTCATAAAAATTTCGCGCTGAACAACTATCGATATTGGCTCTTGTAAAAAATACCAAGTAATTAGTATTTCCTATAAAGAGAAGCTATCGATACCAGCTAGCAAAAAGAGAAATACAAAGAAAGTATCGCTATCGATACACGTAGCTTTTGATGTTCAGAAGTCGGCGATTGTTAATTATTGTATGTTTTTGTATATAAAATGGCAACGAAATTAAATGTAAACATAAGAACGCTGTTAACAAACTGCGAGGATCTGGCGAAAAACGAGGACAACTTTTGGCGACTGCAAAAGTTCCTCAAATCACTAGACACGATGGTTTCCGAGCTGGCGGCAATGGAAGAGTGAGTGGACATATAATTTTGTCTGCCTGAAATGAAAATCTAAAATGCCAACCCAACCACTACTGCCACAGTCCGTCGAGTGCTGCACGCATACCCAGCTATTTGGAGCGACTAGAGGCGTTAAAGAAAATCACTGGATACACGACCAACAATAATTCCAAGCCTTCCGCGCGAGGCTCCGATACAGACATTGCGCTGCAGGAAATGCGACAGCTCCAAAACACAGCCAGGCACAACGAGTTGCGTACGGAGTTGCTGCAAGGTAGGCGTCGGAGTAGATAAAGAAGCACTCTACTTTTCTCTTTCTCTCCCTCTCCCCCTTACAGATGCGGATGCACTGCGTCGTAGAAGAGTTGCTGATGATTCGGGGTCTCCTGGCGAAACCACCAGCGGCGGTAACAACATGAACATGAACGAAGCCGTCAAGTATTACAACAATGCCCAGGAGAAGATAACCGAGCACATGCTCTCTCTGACGCGTAATCTGAAGGAGCAGACGGAGACGGCAAATCGTATTATCAAAAAGGATACGGAAATGGTATCCCGATCCACAGGCGTGGCAGATCGCAATATCAATACACTTGGCAAGGAGGCCGAAAAGCTCGAACAGCATTCACGTAAAGCCTACAAATGTTGGCTCTGGCTGATGTTTGTATTTGTCATCGTCGTTTTTATAGGTAAGCCGTAATTTGATTAGATGTGATTCTCTCTCGTCACTCATCTCTCTTTGCAGCCATGGTACTCTTTATGAAGATCATGAAGAAGAAGAAGACATAAGCGAGCTGCTCTACACAATGATTATCATAGTTCAATAGGTTATCACACTAATAGCTAATGGTGTAAACAATATGGGAGAAAAGGCATTAAACGAAAGCGAGCGCAATTGGGAAACTATTTGAAAAATGTATTATTTGAATTGTATGAGAGGGTACTTTGACTATGTAATGGAGTTTGTAACACTTGCGAGAATGTGTTTAAAGAGTATATGTATATATATGCATATATCACATCAAATTGTAAACTTACTTGATATATACTTTATACCAAGTAAAATCGTTCTCCATTCTTGTTCAATATTTACATAGGAGGCGTTTATATATACATATATACATATATATTGGAGACCAGTCTCTAACTCTAAACATAAAGTTGTCAAAGTTGTCTTATTATTTTGCTTTGCAAGCATATTTAAGCTTCTTCCTCCATCATCCCTTTATTCATATTTGTTTAAGCACAAGCATTATATATATATATATGTATATTGTATATAGTGTATCATTAGTTTGTTTAATAATCTCTTGTCTCTACTCCGCCGGTATAAGTTTCGTAATGCCATTCTTTGTGATCAGCTGCAGCAAGGAACCGCTTTTGGGTCTGTCCTTGGACTGTGTCCATTTTTCAAAGAGTTCGGCGACCTCGGTAACAGGTGTCCAGCTGCTAAAGTCAGCCTTGGGCATCCATTTGCGGTTCATGGGCGTGTCTAGAGTAACAGGTAGAATGGATACAACCAGCGCATTATCTGGCAACCCGGAATTCTCGCCCGCCAGCGAGCGTGTTAGCTGATGCACTGCAGCTTTGGCCATGCCATAGCCAATCATGCCAGGAGTGCCTGCCAGGGCAGGCTTGGCGCCGGTCAGTGCCAGGAGACCACCAGCCTTCAAATGGTGTGCCGCCAATGTGGCTGAGATGCAGCTGCTCCAGACACTCTGCCGCCACATCAGATCCGCATTCTTGGCCAGATCTACGAAAAGAATTGCAGAGGTTTTTAATAAATCTGGTTTGACTATTGCCGTGACTCACCTTTCTTGGCATTGCCACCTGCCCAGCCACCGGCCACACAGATTACAGCATCCAGTTTCTGGCCAGCCAGAGATTCGCCCACCTGGCTAACCACAGACGATTCCTGTTCCTCCCAGCTCGAGTCGCGTGGCACAACAATGCTAATGTCTGCTTTGTCGTTTTCACTCAAATCAATGCTGCCAACCCACTGGAGGTCATGTCATAGAAACAATGGAAATTATTAAACAATTGCAATTAAATAACAAAGAAAACAAAAACAATAAAAGTGAAAGGGAAACTTACAAAGTCTTTGGCTTTGAAGTGATCGACGCAGGCGGACCCGAGGGCTCCTTTCCCCCCATAAATAAAAACGCGACCTGCGGACATGATACGTGCTGCCAGTTTAACGACTTGAACGCAACTGAACTCAAGTAAGAATAACGTATTCAATTTTTAAGCTAAGCACAAACAATTCACGACTTGCTTCGCTTCGAATGTGACTCAAAAGCGACTCGTGCGAAGTTTTGCTGACTAAACTGCTGTTCGGGGTTTTTGGCCTGCAAACAAGTTTTCGTTATTGATGTTGTTGTTATAATGGTAACTCGTTAATTGACAGCTTTTTTGCTTTAATTAGAATTTCAAAACAAGAATGTTAACTTTATTTGCTGCGCGAAAAGCAACAAGTGCAAAAATCAATATTGTGGTATTTTTCGTTGGTATTTTAAGTTAACAGAAATGATAATGCCATAAACAGCATTCCGATTGGCAGACCTGTTCTGATCAAAATAAGCTTCAACTTTATAAAATATACATAACGCGTTTCATTCGCCGGTCATAGAAAAATCAGAATAGACGGTTAATGTTTATATTCCATGTCATAAATTTAAATTAACAGTTTATGTGTTAAGGAACCAATAAGTGTGGTGGCAGTCGATTAATTATCTTATTTTACTGAATTATTGAGGTTCATTAATATACTAGCATTGAATTCAATTATTCTTGTTTATTAAGTCATCTAAGCTCGATTTTGTAAAATTATTTTCATTGCTTCTCTTCCACAATTCGTTGTTTGTGTTAATATTTAAATTTATACTCGAATATCTGGCAGCACCATTGCACATTCACAGCGCATGGCTACGATATGCGTGAATTGCCATTCACAACGGTCAATGTACACGTACACTCACACTCACACACGTACACGTACACACAATTTTGTCGTGATTTCTTTTATTTGTTTAAAAATAATATTACAAATACTGTTCAAGTGCATAGCAAAAATGTACAAGAGTGTGTTGAGTGTTTTGCATACGTGTGCGCACAGTTTGGCGCAATAGGAATAGCGAATATTCGCCAGCCAAACGGAAAAGACAACAAATTGTTCGCTGAGAGAGGGAGGAGAGAGAATTTTATGCTGCGAGCGAGAGTTATTTATTTCATAAGAAATTTGTTAATCAAACTGCCAAAATGGAGCGGCGCGTAAAACTAAAGACTATTAATCCACACATAACGTGTAAAATATGCGGTGGCTATTTCATAGATGCGACTACAGTGACCGAGTGTCTGCACACATGTGAGTTTTGCCTCTGCTTGCTGCTCTTTTTTTTTGCGCTAATTGCCAGTAACAGTTCAAGAGTGGGGGGAGCACGAGCACGAGCACCTGCACCGGTTGCCGTTGTCGTTGCCTCTGGCGTTTGCTTTTACGCGCAGTCATGACCACCTGAGGTTTCTAGCGGGCAGGTGATACCGTTTCTCCTATATAGACGTTTGCTCTTGTAAGCCCTGTGTTGTGCTGTACAGAGGAGGCTGCCGGTTGATTGCGTGGGTGATAAATTGTGTCTATGATGAAAGCTGGCAATGCCAAAAACTAATCCTACGCTGTTTCCCATCATGAATGAAGAGTAAAGCAAATATTTATATTTTTGCATTTGGCATATTTTACAGTTTGCAAAAGCTGCCTGGTCAAACACTTGGAGGAGAAAAAGACATGCCCCACCTGCGACAACATTATACATCAATCACATCCGCTGCAATACATCAGCTTCGATCGCACCATGCAGGACATTGTGTACAAATTGGTGCCAAAACTTCAAGAAGGTAAAAAGAATGCAATATATTAAATGTAGCGAACTTTCTCTTAAACTGTTTCGCATTGCAGATGAGTCGCGGCGCGAACGTGATTTCTACAAGAGCCGGAATATGCCATGTCCGAAGGATATAACGCAAAATCACGATGACGACAACGAGAAGGTGATGGATGCGCATGCCGAATCCGACTTCCACCGTCTCGACGAACAGGTCAACGTGTGCCTCGAGTGTATTAGCAATAACTTTAAGAATCTGCAAAGACGCTTTATACGCTGCAGTTCGCAGGCGACGATAACGCATCTCAAAAAGCTCGTCGCTAAGAAGATACTCAACGGAATCGAAAAATATCGGGAGGTGAGATCATCGCTAGCATGACTATATTTACAATAACAATAAATAATTGCGATAACTATATAATGTATTGTTCGATAACCCTTGCAGATCGATATACTGTGTAATGAGGAGCTGCTGGGCAAGGATCACACGTTGAAATTTGTCTATGTGACACGTTGGCGCTTTCGTGATCCACCGTTACGGCTGCAATTTCGTCCTCGTGTCGAGCTTTAACACAAGCAAATGCAAAAATGATCTATATATATATTTTTTTATAATTTATTGACATAGTGCTCTATTATATATATGAATATATATTTATATATATAAATATGAATCTTAGGAGTTCCCCTAGTGTTAGTTCTCTCTAAAACGAAAAACACAAAAATATGTATGTATGTGTAAATGTGCATGTATATAAAGTCGGCATAGAGTAGTCCTTAAGTTGAACGTGATTAGCATTATCCTCGTGTGACTTTTGTTGCGACTTTGTACCGTCTGATTTAATCAAATTCAGGACCACATCAAGAAACTTCCCTCTCCCGTTCAATTATTGCAATATTTTATGTTTTTTATTATTTTTATTTGTATTTAGTTTCATGTGTATAATTTATTAATTTAATGTACAAATCAAAACACACGAATGTAAATAGCAGTTGAGTAAATAAATTTGTAATTATGTAAAGTTTAAAAAATTCAATTCGGCGCCTGCCGTTGATTCCTATAGCTAAATCGGGGATGCGGCCGAAATGGAGCGGCGCGATAGGCGAATGCGGGCCTCGGTCGTGGATACGGCGCAAAATACGGATGCGCAGGATACACAGGACGCGGTGGCAGGCCGTATGGCACGGCGCCATACATGGGATTGAAATGTGGACGCTGTGGCGGAGGTGGCCAACCCTGCAAGAGGAATTTATCAGTCGATAAGAACTGAGCTGGCAGTTGGAGCTGGCTACTCACGTAGGCGTAGGGATAATCGGCAGCAGGCACTGGCACGGGCACCGTTATAATGCGTGGCGTTCGAGAGCGACTGCGGCTGCGGCTCCGACTACGGCTACGGCTGCGACGTCGATTAGGCTTTGCAGCGGGTGCTGTGGCGGACTTATGGCGATTGCTGCTGTGACGGCGTTCGTAGCTCCTGGACCGGCGACGTCCATGGCAGCAATTGCGTTCCGCTGAATATGAGCGAGATCTGGCACGCCTTGGCCTTCCTCTTGGCGGTGTGGTTGGGCGTGCTACCGATGTTTTCCTAAGTCGCAAATTACGCACTCGATCACGTTCCCTCGCTTCATCCGCAAAGTATGGCACCTTCTCTTTCTCCTTCTCCTTGGGACGCGTACGCCTCCTCGTATCTAAATGCAACACATACAAGAGAAGCTTCGTTCAGTATTTAGCTTTATATGTCTGCGCCTTTTGATACGTTTTTATCCAGAATATGCTCTTTAGTACATCCTTCACTGCATTTCGCTTATGGAATGTGCTGCGCATCCTTTTTGGCTTGCCATTGTAAATCACTTTCACATTTTGTCACTAGAAAAAAAACAACAAAAACATTGCACATTTTGCTTAAAGAAGCCATTGACGCACAATACAAACCTCTTGGTGAACGTGAACTGCTGTCGGCGTCCATATTGCATGCACACACTATATCAAACACAATTTGTGCACTTGTAATTTACAAACATAACGCTGTCAGGGCCAAGGTTACGTGTTGCACTACTGCATTTTCAGTCTGCGTACTCTGACGTCACATTTCACAATATTGCAGCAGCTACTTATTTCCGCTATTGATGTATAGAGATATATATCTTTTGAGTAGTACTCATCACTACTTAAATTTATTAGTATCTTTGTTGGTATTGCTTAATATTTTATAAAACCAACAAAAATTGCATCAAATGCAATACGAGCAAATCTCTTGGCGTGACAGAACCTTGTCTTCTCTTAATATTGAGCCGGGCTGCACAATTGCGATGTGCGTGTACCGATTAATTGCACAGCGATGTTTTTGGTCTACCTCAGAATAGTGATGTGTAAGTATCGATATATTTCTTAATATTTATTCTTAAATTTAAATAAGATATATTTAGTCCTAAAACTGCAACCTTAATGTTTATTTTGCAAATGAGAATGCTCGAAGATCTCTAGTGTCTGCTGATGCATAACCTTACGATTTTCCCTTCTTTTTTTGACTGCAAAACGAAAAGAAATCAACTTGAAATAATAAATTTTTGTGTAGATACAAACTTCACTACTTACGGCAACTTGCCATTAAATTTAAGACCTCTGTGCACTTTGTTCATATGATTGCGACAGTAGTCGCTTCTTACAAAGCTTTCTGCGCAGTGGGGACACTGATAGGGACGTTCGCCCGTGTGATTGCGCATATGTCTCTCTAAATGTGTCTTTATTTGAAATGCTAGCGGGCAAATTGTACACGCAAATGGTCGCTCCGGCTCTGATACCGGCAAATTGCGACTCTTTTGCCGAACGGGGTATTTTTGCTTTGGTAATGCGGTGACTTTGACCCTTGATTTGTTTTCAAGGTGCCATCTGGAAGCAGTGATTAAGATTAATGTAGGCAATTGATTTATAAACAGATTTTCCTACTTTTTGTGTACACGCAGTAGGCTCAAATGCGCAAATTGTTTGCTGCAAAGTTGGCATTTATACTGTATTTTTTCCGCCTTCATCTGATTTACGTGCTTAGAATCTGGTTCTGTTTTTGTTTTTTCGGGCTTTTTCTTCATGGACTTCAACAGCTGTTGATAGTTCTCCTCGCACTTGCGCTTAAATCTGTACGCATTTTGTGCACTTAGGACACAGCTCAGGCAGATTTGTTGCGGCAGTCCATCATTGATTTTGATGTGGCAAGCAGCACATGCGTTCAGCATATCCGCCAGGCTGGGCTCCGATTGGCCATTGTGAATTTGCTCCCGCAAAGCGAAAATGTTCACCAGCGTTTTAGATGCATTTAAACATATGCGGCAAATCTCTGTATCCATGCGTGGAAACTTTTGTTTTGACGTTGGCTTAAAAAAAATGTTTAGTGATAACAAAATGTATGGATGTATATATCGATAGTTATTGAGTCCATTTCCATGTCATTCCATGAAGATCGAAAAAAAAACTGGCCTATCTTAACTGGAGGGGCTAGTGGTATTGGCGTTGGTATTTATTGTTTGCCACCAGGATCGCGCATATATCGATAGCTCTCCCAATCATATGAAACATTCATATCAATAAGAAACCCATAGATCGCATTTGTTAAAAGAATAATTATTTATTTTCAACATTGAATAACATTTAAAATATATTATATATCAATATTAAATGTGTAGTAATACATATTATATATACTTGTTTCTCTTTTCAACTATTTCGATGCTTTGAATACATTCATTTTAAATGCTTAGGTGTTGATTGAAATTCAGGTGGTTAGTATTCCAAAAGTATTTTAGTTTTCTCTTCTATTTTTGATTTAAATTTTGGCGGTACTTTAGTGACAAGGCAATCCGTTACGTTTGGTCATGGCACAATTATTGAGTGCTTACTGGATTTATATAAGAATATATATATATAAGATATTTATTAATTGATCGTGCCAGAAATGCATTTTTTTTTTGTTGAAAATAGAATTATATAATCATTCTAAGAAATCCGTACGTTCGAGTACTTAATAATATTAAATTAAAAGTATGTTGCAAAAAATGTTCAATTTGTAATACAAATATGTATAAAGAAACATTTGCTTTATATAAATACATTTTTTGTCTTGGTTTTCTTTTTTGTTTTTGTTTTTAAATAGAGGAATGCCGGAACGGAAGATGCTTTCATTTTTGTTTTGGCTTTATTGCGGAATGTGAGTGAGAGAGATAGGAAGTACGAGTGTGAGTGATTCTACATGTGTCGAGTGTTGCCAAAGTTAATGCCAGACTGGGTGGCGCCCTTATTGGAGCCGTACTGTAGGGAGATAACATTTTGGCCGGCGCGCAGCTGCTCCTCGCTGAAGTTGCGCACATTCTTGTCCGCCTCCTTGGGGCCAATCGATGGCTTGTTGAAGTTGGAGGCCTATATCAACAGAATTATCATTAGTATATATAGAGATAAATATCTTTAAGGTCTTGCTTACCTTGCGACCCAGCGACTGCAAGCAGATGACAACAGAATTGAGATTCTGTCGCTCCCAGAGATCGACACTCTGGAAAGTCTCCTGTGTGGGCACACCGAAGTTCTTGGCACACTCGAGGAAAGCCGAAATGTTCTCCATGCATTTGAAGGCCATTTTGCTCTCATTAACCTTCTTGATGCTTCCGGGCTGTAGGGAATTGGCCAGCTTGCACAGGATCACGCCATCCTTGAGCACCTCAAAGAAGTTGTCCGTATCGCCCGATGTGTTGATGGGCTCGCCTGTCACAGCCTTAATCCATTCCAGCGACTCCTGTGCCAGCTCCTCACTGTACTTGGAATTGATCTGTAAAGATCACAGAGGAGTGGATAATATCCCTTAGTATGTATGCCTTATAAGTTTGCCCTATATATCCAGCGTAACCTTTGATTGGTACATAGTGTTCCACTCTCAACTAAAGCCGTTTCACAAATGAAATCATGTCCAACCCATATATAGATTCTTTTCGTTATCTGCGGCAATATATTGCAGATAGCCCGTCTATCGTTAATTGGATCGTAAACATTCGTGCTCATGATCATAATTCAAGTTTGGTTAAGGATAAGATTGCAGTTTCCGAGACAACGGGCGCTCCCAAAAATTAAACCCCCAATATAAGTTTCTCTTTCTTGAGCTATCCATAAAAAAGAAATACTACAAAATTTTGATTGCATATCAAATTTACCCATGCATTTGTACTTGCATGCGCGCTGGAGTCATAAGGAATATGTTATGGGTCGATAAAATGGGTTTTGCTACGATATTGTAGAGGTCTAGATATATTGCATATCAGTTGAATAGATATATTGAATATAATCTTAGAACAAGTTTCCATTTATCATAGATACTTAACTTAAATGAACTTCATAATTGAATTAAGTGACGCTCATTTATGTATAAGCATATGTATGTATGTCTCAGGAGAATTGTGAATAAAGTCACGTTCTCAATCTCTCTCTCTCTCTCTCTCTCTATCTCTATCTAAATGCATAACCATATTTGCCTATGTTGCGCTGCTGTTGCCGTTTTAGCTTTTTTTATACAATTTTCGTATCTCTGTTTTGGCCATATAAAGCGCTAAGGCTTAAGCGCCAGCTGTTTGGGCGTCCTTCGCACCGTTTTGGCTCATAATCGAGGCCCACTTGTTGAGCGTTATTGGAGTGGACATGCGAAAAAAAAAAAACAAAAAAACAGAAACAATCGAAAACCACAAAAGTTGTCAATTGGTTTGCGTGTTAAGTTTCCATTTGACAATAACTGTGGGAGGGAGAGAGAGAGAGTGTGTGGGTGGGAGAGAGATAGCTGCTATAGAAACTGTTGTCACTTAGCACTCAGTTATTAATTTTAGATTTAATTGAATTGCTGTCGGCTAACTGATTTGAGATTAGCAGGAATTCTATTATTAGGGGTGCTCCCACATTTGCCCTCTCTTTCTCTCCTTCCGCTGCCTGTATTTCTCTGTTGTCTCTATTAAAATAAATGATCTCACAGACATTTGTCGTCAATTGGTTAGTTTGTCCCTTTGATTACGTTGCATTTTTTTTGCAATTGCTGAGTAGAATGTGAAAGAGAGCAAACGCTGATTATAGTTCGCTTTGTTTGCTCATCACGTGTTCCCCCGTGCGAAGCGCCTGCAATTGGAGCGCTGCATAAATGAAGGTGAATGCACTGTGGGACTATCGAATGCTCACTGTAGTAGTGGTTCCTCATAGCGATAAGCAAATTTTATGAGCTGCGCAGAAGAAGAAGGAAAAGTTATGTGCTGATCAAGAAGCCGATATGCAGATAGACACAGGCCATAAAAATGTAAATCAATGAAATAGTATTGTTTTTTATGTCTTTGTCAACAGCTCGCCATGCTCTTGATATGCTCTGTGAAATGGACAGTTGAAAGGGGTATGATGGGTAGCAGAAGATGTGGATTTAAGCAATTTAAATATATTTTATATAGCTCTATTAAAGACAGATACATAAGAGAGATATTCTTTTGCTATAATAATTGCCTTCGATTTCAGCTACATCGATAAATATCGAAATATAAGGAAGTATGTCATATGAGTAGCTGATTTTTTAGTGTAGCATATTACGTTTTTATAGTTCATGCGGTTATCTAAACGATAAATCGATTATTTGATAACTTCATTAAGCTTTTAGCATATGCGAATGTTTATGAAAGCTATAAATACCGGCAATTTGGGTTTTGGTAATCTTTTCTGTGTTCTCTCTCCTACACCAAATTTCAATTGATTATCGAAATTTGCGTTAACAACAGCAATTATCGATACAGTTATTAAAACACGCTTAAACTTAATTGAAAACTGCAAAATTTTTGGCAAAGAGCGTTTCACACTCATTTGGGGTCATTAGAAAAAACTGTTGACCCCAAAAAGAAAGCTGAAACTGAAGCCGAAGAAAAGAATCTGAAAATAATTTAACAATCGGTCCGAGAGCAATGGCTCAATTTATCATGTTTTGTGTGTGATTTTTCAAAGACAATTAATAAGAATTTCTATTGATTGACATTTTCTCGAGACAAACCACATGATGATCGTGATCATGTTGATGATGATGATGATAATTATGCTGATGGCATCTGGCAGATAAAATGACGCCCGCAAGGCGCTATGCATAAATTTTGGGCTGAAAAAATCTTAGTTTATAGCAGAGATTCTCTGGAGAGACGGTCTTACGATTCATAAATATTATACTTATATATGAATATAAACATATATATATAGCTATATATAGATATGTGTATATACATACATACTCATTTACATGGACATAAATAAAATAGCCGTTAAGAGCCTAATCAATGCGCTCGATTTCTGGCACATTTGCGGTCTCTCCATAAATATTTATGTGCATATTTGTATATACATATACATATATCTATCGCTCGAGCGATCTATCTATATTTTACTTTTGTCTGGAGTTATGGAATTTGGAATTGGCTAACATGACTTACAACCTGGCTTAGAGCGCAACAACAAAAACAACAATGAGTTAGCAAATTGAAAGGTAAACAAAAAATCAACAATAAAGCTCGGGTCGAAAGTATCCGACTAGGAGATGCCCTGAGATAGAGATTAGCACACCTCTACTCTTTGAAAGTAAGGATTCGGTTAAAATGTCGGTATATATTCAGTTTTCCTATCAAGAACTTATATATGTACATAGTTAGTGGGATCTTCCACGCCTATTCTATTACGTATGTACCTAGCCATTATACCCATTTTAAGTGTTTGCAGGGTACAAACATGTCTACCAGTAAAAATTGTAGGCTCTGCTTCTTTCTTTTTAGTTTTTTTTTTTCTTATTTACAAAAATATTTAATGAGTCAGCAGCCTCCGATAATTCAGCTAGCTCTTTTTTTGCTCTATGAGAGGTCGTCACGAAATTCGACGACAACTTTATAGTGTTGCTCTGTATAAAGTACAGTTAGTAACTGAAATACATATTCACACATATAAATATGATGTATGTATATATGCACACATGTATATTTGTATATGCAAAGTTCTAGAACGTGAGTTTTGCCTTATCGTAAAAGAGAGTGCAAAATAAACGTCTGTATGTATATAGCTCATTTTATACGAAATATAATGGAGAGGATGTCACAATGGAATTTTTGCTTATCAACAACGTTGTGATTGCACTCAACAAAATGGTATATATACATGTACATATGTATTTATATTTATAAAAATACATTCTTGAGAGACTAGGCCAGGGTTCTTTGTCTCCCATTGGTCAACGGCCCAAAGTTGTTAAAGCACAGTTATAATAGTTGCCCTAAAATGGCCACTGCGCATGCGACCCAGCGCTACATACACTGCTCGAAACTAGGGAACAATTTCTAAAATGTTTATTATATAGAGAAAATTTCTAAGTGCTATTTCTAGAGTCTTTTGTTTAGAGAGCTAAGATGTGTTTAGCAGATAGAGATGGAGATAGATTAATCTCTTAGTTTAGGTAGCCATTTAAGAGCTTAAACAAATTGTATACATAATGTAAAATCTAATCAAAGATAGTCATATCTAAATTTCTTAGAGATATTAACAAGCTAAGAAATATATGTATATTCGAACTTTATAGTTGGAAACTCTTATAATTTGCGAGTCTCAACCATGAATGTATGTACATATATAATTCTGAAGCTTGAAAACAGTTCCATTTAGTTTTGTATATACCGCAGTGTATGTGGCAGTTGACACTGACATTGATGTACAACTCGAAGCGCATGGGCTGGGTACTGGGTACTGGGTCTGTGGGTCAGTTCATAAATTAAGCGCGATTACGCGCAATTACAGAGCAGCGCGACAATGCGTAACATCTGCGGGAAACTAATTAATTTTAACAGTATTTTTATTTTGATGAAGTTGCCTGATTGTACTGTACAGGTTGGCGCTATGGGTGTCTTGTTGTTTGTTTTCTGTTTGTTTTTTTTTTGTTGCCCGCACGCAAGTCGCATTAGCGTTAGCCAAGCCTGAAAGCCTCTTCATTAGCTCAAAGAGCTTTTAGTTAAATTAAAAGTGTTTGCATACAATTCGCGCTTCCTCACTATCTCACCCTCTCTGTCTTACATTAACCTCAGCCTTGGCTTGAGCTCAAGCTAAGCTGTGGGCAAAGGAAACCAGACTCAAGTCTCAAGCTGCAACACCCACCACCACCACCACTACTACAATTGCAGTGCAAAAGCAAATAAAAATCACAGTTATTTTAGCTTAGTCATACGTAGAAAACGCTTTTACAAATGCTCTGCCGTTTTAATTTGCAAGCTGTATAATTTTCAGGCAAACAATTCAGCTGATTCCACAGCTGTTTTCTTTAGTGCAGCACAAGGTGCATATACCCGCTGCTCATCAATTTTTATAGGTAATTGCGAACAGACACAACTGTTAAACACAGATAGAGCAACAAGGAGTTGTACATACATATGTATGTATTATTGGAAGGGAGTGCTTTCTGACGCATAAATCTAACAGCGGCTGACGCAAGTTTCCGTTTCAGAAGACGCGCGTAGTGTGTAAAAGTATTGCTCGATCTGTCTCTCTCTCTCTCTCTCTCTCTCTCTAACCCTCGCTTGTTTCATTATGATTAGCGTGGCAACGGATCATTGCGTAATGAATTTTTGCTTAGGGATCAGCAGATGATGTCATTATTGAGTTTGCAACTGAAGCAATAACTGAACAAATGCTGATGATTAGTTCGAAAATTAACAGTTGACGCATAAAGCTTAAAAGAAACAAAACAAAAGACGCAGCTTGTGTCCGTGTGTGTGTTGAGGCGCGTATGATTGTGGGCGTGTTTGTATATAGTTTATGTATGTATGTATGTGATTTAGTTACGTGCAAAATGAGCGACGCGTTAAGATAAACAACAACAAGAAAACCCGATTGGCAAATCTGTTCACCACTTGCGGTTATTTTATTTCCGAATTCGATTTCGCTTTCTTTTCGATGTGTCATGCCTGCCGGTCGATGACAATTACAAAGCATTGCGGGTGACCGATATCTGAGCGAAAACGAGAAATATACCAAAATAGAGCAACAAAAACAAAAGCACTCGAGCTTTGAATACCGCAAGCAAAATAAACGAGGTCAATTATGTGACTGATTTTAACTGTTGTTTTACGATATTTTTTACATTTTGTTTTGCTAAAGTGTAAACATTGCAAAAGACAGCACAGTGGTACACAATAGCGTTAAAAATGTATCATTTATATACGTATGTATATTTTTGTTTGTTAGATTTACATACATATGTATATGTGTATGTATAAGACTAACAAATTGAGTTCAAACTCTTTTATTACATTTTTGGCGATCTCCGAGTTTCACCGGAAATTCAAACAACAATTTGATTTATGATTTGGTTGAGTTTTGCCATCACTTTTTATGGCTTATCTGAAAATGTATGACTACAATTATGATTCGTAGTACTGTACAAAGGTACATAACTATAGTTCTTTTTTCGTTTTTTTTATAACAACGGACCTAGAAGAGCTCGACAAGTTCCATTTGGTAAACTGATACGGCGGCGAACCTGCTTGCGGATGTATTAATGTGACCATATCTATGTTTGCATGTGTATAGGTGTCCAAGCGTGCGTGTGCATGTGTATGTGTGTGCGTGTGGGTTCCAGTGATTACTAGAGGTACGTGCTAACGCTTCTATGGGTACCCATATAGAAGAGGAATGGGCGAACAGACAAGCGAACGACTAATTAATGGCTACATGGCCAAAGAGGTGCGGGGTCGAGGGGCGCAAGGGTTACAGTTAGGGTATGTCTAGAAAGCGGAATCGAAGAAGAGGAAGTGGAAGAACGTAGGGAACGAGCTGTTGAGCCTTCAATAATAGTTACTCGATTTTTGCTGAAATTTGAGTCGTTGCCATAAAAGTACACAAAAATAACTGCCAACCGACTCTACATACACACACACACATGCACATACTCACTCTCACATAGACAGTCAAATGGACAAACAATTTTTTAAAAGTTGATTCAGCGGCATGTTGTTTTTGTTTGCTTATACTACACACACAAACACACACCCATTTCCACACTTAAGTGCGGCGCGCATGTGTGTTAGTGCGTCAAAAGGTGCTATCGCTACGTGGGGCGCTTTAGATACACTTGTTTAAAGTATGCCCATTTTGTCACTAAATATGTAACTTGGTATACATACATATATGTCCATACAAATATATATCACACACTCATATATGGTTACACGTTAAACAAATAAGTAGATCAACAGAAAATAGCTTTATATTATATTTCTAGCAAGCTTCCATATCAATCAATTTCAATGGAACGAATCAAAATCAAAAACAAGGGCATTCAAAGTTCGTCAACTCGTTCACACATAACTTTCTTTCGGCTTCTTTAATACATTTTTTTTCTTCAATTTTTGAAGTTAACGAAGACGGGCAGCTGGCAGGCAGGCAGGCAGCCCAATGACATCATCGCGCTCTCTCGCTCCTGCGAAGCCGTTGATCGCGGCGAAAAACAACCAAGAGGAAACATAATAAAGGGGGCTGCGGCGCAGCGCAGCGAGCCACGCGGCAAATTTTAGGAGAGACGCTAAGGGAAATGTCCCTCCAGTTGTCGTTCTCGGTGTCTGTTCTGTTTGACCAATGCTGTAACTGAATACATTGTTTTCGTAGCTGGCGTCCATTAGTGGATTGCACTTAATCCGTTCCCTCTTCCCCTTCCTCACCTTCTCCTTCCTCTCTATCTCTCTCTTTCTCTTTCGTTGTCCACATACCATATACAATTTCAAATTTCACTCACGTCGCAGGGACAGTGCATTGCGTAATTTCCAAGGGGAACGCGGGGGGAATGGCGACACTGGGATACATGTAAGCCCAGTTCCGCATATATGTATCTGTATGTATAGCATGCCTACATATGTAAATTGCAGTAAATAAGCGTCACTAATGTCAAATTAGTTTAACAGAGAAAGAGAATGCAAGCGCAAGCGAGGGCCGCGCTACGATTGCTGTGATCCCTTTTGCTCTCTGCACTGCAATTTGGCACCCATGAAGTCTATTGAGCAATCAAGAATTAGAGAGTGAGAGAGAGAGAGACGAAATTGTGCTCAGCTGCAATTGAACGAAGCCTGACAAAGCATCGTTTCAAGTGCAAACAACTGCCTAATTGAATTTCAACTCAAACTTCAACTTTAGAAATTACGCATGCATGGCCACACACACTTAGATACACTCGCACACTCATACAGAGTCATGCATACTTAAAGATGACTTATCAACGCGAACTGCAAATTGGGAATGAGGTCATCTCTAAGACCATTTTTAGCCTGAATTTTGGCGCGCGAGAAAAGACGCAACTCGGTTTCAAATGCCCAAATAAAGGCATTGCAGCTTAACAGTCACACACTCTCACACACATGCATGCATACAATATTATGTTTTTTGGCAAAAATTTGGTTACCTTGCGCTGCGCTTCGGCCGCAAAGCCACTCTTTGGAGCACGATTCGAAGACATGTTAATGTTTGTTGTTGTTGTTGCTGGTGCTGCTGGATTTTTGGTTGGAAACGGGTTTGCAGGGTGTGTTGCGTTACGTTTTTGTCGAAAAAAAGTAGCTTAACGTTGCACTCTGGCCAATGGAATGTTTATCACAAATTGGTAATATATATATGTTTATATTTTCACGTTGCGCACAACACACGTCCGCTCGCAACAAATACTAAAAGCGCTTTGAGCGTGACATGCCAACAGCCAAAACCAAGAAAACTTGAAGCCATTAACAGCGCTGTTGTTAATGTTAACAGTGCCAGCCGGTGAGAGACACAATAACAGATGGGGAGCGAAAAGCAGTTTTAATGAGCCGCTCTCAAAAGCTCTCCAACTCAGCTGCTGCTGTTGATGATGATGATGTCATAATGCACATGTTGCCGCAGCTAACGGCTGTTCGAATCTGTTCTTTTTTTTTTATGGCATTGAAAGTAAAACGATATGAAGCCTGTTATTAGTAATAGCACTAACCAGTGGAAATAGTTTGTGCTTTCATGCTAAAGCATTATCACAGCATACCAGACATGGCCATGTCATTGGCTGATAGTACAAGCAGTAAAAATAAATGTTGCGGGTTATTTTTTTGTTGATCAGTTTTAAGTTGCCTTGAGAATTAGTTACATTTTATTCACATAAATATATTTTTTATGTAAGTGTTTTATATATGTTTCAAAGATAAGAAGAGAATTGCATAATTTGTTGTGGTTTCTTTTCAGTGTATTTAGTGAGTGTTTTTGTTGTTTTAATGTGTTCTAAATAAATAGGATTGCTTTTATAATTGTTTTGTTTTTGCACATATAATTGTTATATTAAATATACATAGCTCTAAGAATATACTGCAGCCAAGACAAGTTTTCTTTAATTTTTAATATATTTATTAAATATGTATGTCATTTGTCTTTTGATTATATCGCCTTTATGTTTTAGTTAATTTTATTTAATTGTTTAAACATAGGAAAAAGCATTCCATTTAACTAGACAACTACTAATAAACGGTTTAAGTGGTTGCTTGTATCAGTTAATATTTTACTTTTTATTTTTCTTTATTTATTTTTATTTTTTGCTCTCATGCATGTTAAGGCCCTCGCGCTCAAGTACAAGTGGGTGTGGCATATATATAAATATATATGCTTCATAGACTATGGTTTATTTGAAATGTTGATTTAATTTTATTTTAGTTTTTACAATTTCATATTTCTTGGGTGCATGCTAAATAATTTTGCTAATATTTTCTTTAATTAAAAAAATAATCATAATTTATTTTGCACATGGATAAATACAAATTACAAATGTAGATGTGTGTATATGTGTATATATATATAAAAAAAAGAATATCGAAAAAATATATATATATATGTATAAAGATTGACGTGAAAAAATAATATACACAGAGAGAACACTATTACATTTAAATAAGCAAAATATGAGCAGAATTTGACAGAGCAATCAAAAAATAATTCTAATTCCTAGTTACATATATGTATGTGTATGCATGTGTGTGTTCGTGTGTGTGTGTAAGCACTGATATCTGATATCTGTGTTTGTTTACATAGGCTACGCATCGCATATTGAACATAAAACAATAGTATCAGCAAATAATTTCAGACAATCTTTGTTTTCGTAATTGTTTCACTTTCATTTCTTTTAATAAATAATACCTCACGATTCGTTGGCTCAACGTATTTTTAAACTTAACTTATACAAACAACTGTGCAATAAAAAAATTGGGCAATAAACACACAGCGGGGTTTTGGGAGGGGGATACGAGGGAACAGCGCCCAGCATTGAGGTCGTATATAAATCGTATTATCATCATCTATTACACTTTCCAAACAATTCTGTCTCTGTCTCTTTTTTGGGGACTTGCACACATAATAATATGCCCCATGTTTCATCTCAAATTTCTTCCTATTCCTCGCTTTTCTATATATAATTTTCAATTATATATAACGCAGAGTTTGGGACTCACAAGCAATTTTCCTTTTACACACAATAATAATTATAATTAGAATTAATTAGCAAAATTGTAATTAAAAATCATCAATTTTTTCGCTCATTTCATTTGGGAACATTTTGATATCGAATTGCTTAGCATATTGATGATTTTGGGCTTGATCAGCATTATATAAATATATATTTATATATATATCGTTTTTTATGGTTTATCAGCATTCTCTTTACTTTTGTTTTGTCTTAGTTCTTAACTAATATTACATGCAAACGCTCTTTTCATCATTTCTCTTTCGCAGCTTGGCCTGCTTTATAATGTTTAGTTCTCTTTTATATATATGTATATAATAGTGTATATAGTTTTTATAAGCATTTTTCCTGTTGGTTTTTGTTTTTGTTAGTATCGCTAGTAACCATAATTTGTTGCCTTTCGCCACGTTTGTTTTTACTTTCGTTTTTTTGTTTGTTTAACTCAATTCTATAAATAAATACTCCACACACATTTAGCTATATATCAGTTTTTTTGTTGTTGATTTTCTTGTTCTCTGTTCTTTTAAATAGTTTAGAAAACAATCTTGTTTTGGTTAGCTTCAACGAATTCACAGCAGCGATATATCTGTAAAGATTAGGAAGATTATTATTTATAGTATATGTACTAAGTGTATTTCATAATGACCAACCTTTATTCTCGTGACTATCAGCAGTGACTAGCGTGTTGTTTGCCGCTGTGCTCGTCAGCAAGCTGTTATTGTTGTTATTGTTATTATTATTATTGTTATTGTTCATGTGCAGTTGTTGCTGTTGTTGTTGTGGTTGATGGGACTCTATGCTCAGATCGATTAGCTGCGTAACAGCTGGATTCACTGCATCCTGCAGCAGATTGATGTCGCTGCAATGAGTAAAGCCCATTTAGTTGATGTTCTTGTTGTTGTCAATTAAGACTCTAAACAGCTGTTGCGCTCGACTCACTTCTTGTTGTTCACATTCTCGATATGGCCATTCCCATTGGCCACTGCTGCTGGAATTGTTGCAGCTGCTGTTGTTTCCACATGCAGCTTGCCATTGCTCACCTCGTACTGTTGCAAGTTGTTCTTAGCATTCTCATCAATTATCAAATTTGAGAAACTGTTTATTAGTGAATTCTCTTTGTCCTGCACCGATTGCTCATACATGGCCTGACTGTTTGGTGGCTGCTCCACAGACTCTGTCTCATTAGCCGTTGGTGCAACTGCATCATTGATTGTGCTGCTGCTGCTCGGCGAGCCACCAGTTGAGTTACTGCTGCTGCTGTTCGCGTCATTTGCTTCCTTGGGTGCACCAGCCTTGGGCTCCGAGGATTCCTGCAAAGTGTTTAAGATGTTAATTTGAGCAAATATTGAGATTTTGATCTTTTACTACCTTGACGGGCGTAGCAGCTGCACCGCCACCCTTACGTGTGCGCGACATAATTGCCTCGACACGTTTGCGTCGCTCTTCGCGTTCCTTCTCCTCGCGCTTGAGGCGCTCGGCCACCTCGACACGCAGCTTTTCAGCCTCCTCCTTGGCCTTCTTTTCGGCCTCTTCGCGTTCGATACGCTGACGTTCCTCTTCCTCACGTCGACGCTGTTCCTCCTCTTCACGCTGTTGTGCTTCCTGTTAAAAGCGATTTCGATTAGCACTTATTTCAGCAAAGCTTTTCCATTTGCCTGACTCTTACCTCGATGGCCTTGCGCAGACGCTCCTCTTCGGCTCGTCGCTGCTCTTCAGCCAAGCGTGTGGATTCCTCTTCGAATAGTCGCTGGCGTTCGGCCTCCTCCTCTTGTGCCTTGAGCTCGGCAAGGCGCTCAGCCTCAAGCCTTTGGCGCTCCAATTCCGCCTGTCGTTCGGCCTCCTCGCGGGCCAGGCGTCGTCTTTCGGCTAATGCGGCCTTAGCCTCCTCCTCAGTCGTTATCTTTTTGGCTATCATCGATGCGGTCATCAAATCGTTGCTGTTGTTGCCATCCGCAGATGGGGGTGTCAATTCACGCACCTCCGAGTTCTCCTTGCTGCCGCCATTACGCAGTGTCTTCTTAGATTCCTGTGGAACTTGTGGCTGTGGTTGTGGTTGTGGCTGTGATTGTGGCTGAGGCTGAGACTGTGGCTTCTCATTGCCCTCGTCTGCCTTCTCATCCACGTTGACAGTTGCAACTACTGGAATTGGCTGCGACACCTGATCGTTTTGTGTCTTAGCATCTACTTGCAGTTGCTGCTGCTGCTGCTGCTCCTCCTGTTGCTGCTCCGTTTTCTCTGTGTTCAATGCCTCCTTTTCCGCCTTGCTAACAGCAACAACTGCTTCAGGAGCTGGCAGCTCTGCAGTAACCTGCTCCACTGGATCCTTTGCCACACCGTTTGCCTCTGGTGCAGCTGTTATCGTGGAGCTGCTGCTGCTGCTGGTCACAATCATGGACGTGCTCATCACTGAGGGAACGGGTGCAGCCTTAAGTGTGGACTCCTTGTTGCGTCGATTAATGCGTTCCATGCTGCCGGTGCGACTGCGCGGCTGTGCCTTGGAAGCGGATGCAGACTTTGGTGGCAGCGTTTCCTAAAATCAAGTAGAATTTTATAAATATATAATAATGTCATAAATATAGAAAGCTTTTCAATTGGACAAATGTTTGTGTGATTGTTGCTATATAATTGGAAGCTAACCCGCTTTTGTGGCGTCTTCTTTTCGGCGCTGTGCATGCGCGTTGAGCTGGAGGTGACGATCATTGAGGTGGACATGAGGTTAGGTGTTCGTTTGGGTGTCGTTTGTGCTGTAGACGTGGATGGCGATGAGGCCGTATTTGTTGTCTTCAATGGCGGCTTGTGAGTGTCCCGCTTTAGTTTGTTCAACTCTGTGGGTGTATGAGTTCAGTATTAGGATCCATGGAGTCTATTTAAATAATATATCTCATTTACCATCTAGGGACATGCCAGTGCCTGCTATGCTAGCTGGCCGTGGTTTGCGCGGCGCTGTCGCTGGTCGTCGTGCCACGGGATTGGTTGTGGACAACGTGGTTGATGTGGACATTGCGCTGCCGGGACGTGAGCCGCTCAGATGACCATGTCCGCCGGGTGTTACATTGCCAGATCGCGAGCCTAAGGTTGAGAACAGATTAGTCATGGCTGTCACCTTGCAGAAGTCAGTTCAATTAATATTATTGAGATCTTTTAGTTATATATATGAGCAGGTGAGCACCAAATAAAAACAATGTAATTTGTGAATTGTGACCG